GGGGTACCTCAAAAAAAATCTTGGGAGTTGTGTGTTGAGAGGGGATGCAAAGAGGTCCACTATCGGTTGGCCGAAGATTGTGGCCGCCTCCCTGAACAGAGACGGGTGGAGGCGCCATTCTGACTGGTCCACCGTGGCCCTGCTCAACCAGTCTGCTTGGGTGTTTGAAACTCCTGAGATGTGCTCTGCTTTGAGGGAGAGGAGATTGCGCTCCGCCCAGTGGCAGAGGCGCTCGGCTTCTCTCATCAACCGTATGGACTGTGTGCCCCCCTGTCTGTTGACGTGAGCCTTGGCGGTGACGTCCGTGAGGATAAGGACATGACGTCCGCGTACCTGAGGGAGGAAGCTGCATAGGGCCAGGTGTATGGCGTGAAGTTCCAACCAGTTTATACTGCATGCCCGTTCTGTCTCCGACCATCTGCCCTGTGCCGTGAGCGAGTGGATGTGAGCGCCCCATCTGGATAGGCTGGCATCTGTGGTGAGGGTGAGCCGCTGGAGCTCCTTGAAGTAATGACCCTTGGTGGGGTTGGTCCACCAGAGGAGAGACGTGAGGACCTTTGGAGGTACCTTGACCGTGGATTTTGAATTGCTTCTGCCGGATCTTTGAAATGGGAGCAGGAACCACTGTAGGGATCTGGTGTGTAAACGGGCCCAGGGAACAATGGAAATGCATGAGACCATCTTACCCAATAACTTAGACAAATCTAATAGGGTTACCTTTTTCGATCGCTGGATATGTTTGATAGATTCCTGGATGCTAAGGAGTCTTTCCGAGGAAAGAAAGACCTTTCCTTTAACCGTATCAATTACGGACCCCAAGTGGGTTATTCGGGTAGATGGCGACAGTTGGCTCTTTTGCCAGTTTACGAGGAACCCATGGTCTTGGAGGGCAGAGAGAGTAGCTCTGGTGTCCCTCTCTGCTTGACGTCTGGAGGGGAACAGGATGAGGATGTCATCCAGGTAACAGTGGAGACGTACGGGGAGGTTCCTAAGGTGAGCCGCTAGTGCCGCGAGGACCTTAGTAAAGGTTCTAGGGGCCGATGCCAACCCAAAGGGGAGGGCCACATATTGGAAGTGGTGGTGATTGTAACAGAACCTGAGGAATTTGGAATGGGAGGGCCGGATTGGGATGTGTAAATACGCTTCTGAAAGATCTATAGAAGAGAGCCAGTCCCCTTGCCTGGTACCCAGGAGAATGGACTGTAAGGTGTGCATCTTAAACCTGCGATGGATCAGGTAATGATTAAGTCGTTTTAGGTCTAGGATTGCTCTCCATCCACCTGAGTGTTTGGGGACCACGAAGAGGTGGGAGTAAAAGCCCCGCCCTCGTTGAGAGGGTGGGACGGGTTGGATAGCCTGTATGTTGAGGAGATGCTGAATAGCGGAATCCATCAAATTGCGTTTGGTGGGATCCCTCGAGGGGGGGATGCCATGAAAAAGTCGGGGGGGGGGCGCTGAAATTCCAGGGCGAGTCCGAACCTGATGGTGTCTCTGACCCAGGCATCGGAAGTAGAGGAATCCCATTGGTCGGCGAAATGTCTGAGACGTCCGCCAATGGGGGGGGAGGAACGGGATCTATCTTGGGCGCCGGAAGGGCCTCCCACCTGATCCCTGAAGGGTCTCTTATAGCTGCTGCCCCTTCTGTTCCTGTCACCCGAATTGGCTCGATCCTGGGGTTGGGATGGCCGAAAGGAGGGGGGTCTCGGGTACCTGGGCAGGAAGGGAGACTGGTAGAAGGGTGGGAAGGACCCTCTCCTAAATGGCTGAGGGGCTCTGGGCTCTGGGCTCTGACCTCCGAAAAAGAGAGGGAAGAAATTTTTTCTTGCTTCGGCTCTCGACTAGCAGGGGTTCCAGAGCTGTGCCGAATAATTTGTCCCCCTTGATGGGAGCAGTGGCTAATTTGACTTTGTTTTTGACATCCGCCTGCCAGTGTTTGAGCCAGAGCAGGTGGCGGGCTGTAACATGTGAGGTTATAGCTCTAGTGGAAAACTTAACCGAATGGTAGGTGGCGTTGGCCGAGAATTCTGCCGCAGCCACAAGTTTAGCGATGTCCTGATGCGCCCTTGTATTAGAGGAGGGGACATGCTGTTTTAGTTGGCGGAGCCACCGGATCGAAGACCTGATGAAAAAGGAAGCGGCCGTGGCCGATCTAATGGCCCAAGCGTCAGCTTGGTGAGCCCGGCGTAAGGCTAGTTCAGCCCTCTTGTCTTCGGGTTTCAGAGCCTCCAGAGGGTCATTAGGGGAGAAGGAGGATGCTAAGCCAACAATGGGCTCATCAACCTCGAGGGTATTAAGTAGGTTGGAGAAGTCTGAGTCGAGGTTGAAAAACCTCTTGTCCTGGCTGGATGGGGCAGGGGGGGGGCCCTGTGGAAGCCAGCTGTTTTGATACCAGGTCGGAAAAAATGGGCAGAGCCGGAATGACTTCAGCTTCCACAACGGGCAGCTTGAAAATGGAATCCTCTGGGCCCTCCGCCGAGGAAGGGTGGGCAGAGGGAGACTGTGTGTACAGGCCAGATATGTTTTTGGCCTTAAAGAGAAGCGATTTATATAGGTGTGGCTTGAACAAGCCCACAAAGGTCGGTTGGTCGGGGGTGAGGCCCTCATCCTCGGACATCTCCCCCTCCATTGGCTCTGTCTCCGATAGGGGTTCACTGTAATGTGTTGACCCCAATTCGAATTCTTCCTCCTCCCTGAATTGATCCAGGCCCCCTTCCTCCTCCTCCTGTTCCCTTTCTGGAAGAGGGCTGTCCCTCTGTAAAGGTACCTGACTGTGGGGAGGATCCGATCTAGGCAGGGACCTGACCGATAGAGCCTCATGTTCGGGAGCCATCGGGAAGAAGCTGGTTCTGGACATCTGTTGGAGACCTTCCGCAATCCCCTGGCGGATAGCCAGCTCCATCCATGACCTCAATTCTATGGCAGGCTCCTCTTGGCACAGACCAGCGGCCGTAGGAGTAAATGTAGCTTCGGGTGTCCGTCTGGTCGTTGGTCCAGGGGCCTGATGCCCCTGGGGTGAGCTGTGCCTGGAGAGGGAAGAGTAATCTGGAGAAGGGGGGGTGAGTAGAGGTAGAAGGAGTGGAGGGTGGGAGGGCTGGAGGCACCGAGTGTGACCCCCTGGATCGCCTGTCGAATTCCTTCTCTAATGCCTTATGGCGCCTTAAGGCGTCTCTTTGAGAGGCCTTGGAAGTTTCCTTAGCCTGTCTGCGCAAATGGTGAGACTTAGATTTGGCCTTCAAGGAAGGGCCTTTAGAAGAATTGTCGTCTGCCATTTTAAGAAGTAATCAGCGTATGTAAGGATACTAAAGGCGGTTGGCTCGCCTAGGGTTCGGCCTGCAGCAAAGGCCGGGTGTCCTTTCAAGTGGTCCGCGCCCCCTTTTGGAATTTTGGTGTACTATAATATAATGGGTGTATATAATATATATTATTATTATTATTAATATATATATATTATTTTAGTGTGTGTGTGTGTGTGTGTGTGTGTGTATTTATTTATTTATTTATTTTTAATATAAAAATATGTAATTTGATCGAAATAAATTTGGATCTTGGTCCAATAAGAGTAACAACCTAGGTGAGAAATTAGCGAAAACTGAAAGGAGATGTTGATTAGTTATCCAATTAGTCAAATGAACGCCTGAGGCCAATGGCACAAAGTTGGAGAGATAATGCCTCCAGCAGCTTTTACTCCCAGACGAAAACCGGGAGGGGGGGGTGCTGCTATTACTTCGCCCTGAGCGCAGCTGCGGAATAGCCAACAATACAACAGAGGTAGTATCAGGTATCCAATTATAATGAAAGGCTCTGAACAGGCTGGTAAGGCCTGTTTTGGCGAGCTAGAGAGACTCGCAGCAGAGAAGTGAGGCCGGAGGAAACAAAATGGCGCCCGACCACGAGGCAGCGCCCAAAATGGCGGACGCCTACTGATCTAAATGTCGGGGCTGCTCAGGACAGAATTAAGCCCCTCCGGCAAGCTTAGAATGCCGAGAGGGGCAGCAAGGAGAAAATCGCCCCTTCCTGGGATGATCGGCGTTCGTGGGGGGGGGGGGGGGACCAGCGGCACTTTGGAGTGTAATAAATTCAAGCCGCTAACGAGGGCGGCGTGGAAAGCGGTAGGAAATATAAGATCAAGGAGGGGGGGGTTAGTGCAATAGCGCTGCTAAACCGCCCGCTTTTTTCCCCCTGGGGGGCAAGGAACGCGCTCCCCTGAATCTAGAGACAAAACCAATTGCGCAGAGGCTAAAGGAAAGAATATTAAATCAAACCTTCAAGTAAAAGTAGAAGAGATCCTGAATCGGCCAAGGAGCTTTATCAGAAACAGCCTGACTCTCACGAAGCTGAGCATAAATTGGGGAACGCTGTAATGGAGTCACGTGATGAAGGGAGGAGCGTTCCTCAATAATTAAGCTCAGCCTACAACAGCAGAGACTGAAGCACCACCCTCTCTCTGGATGATCCGAGCAGCTCTAAGGAGAATCAGAAACTATGAAGTATTAGCACAGAGGGGAAAAAGCTATATAATAGAGAAAAGGATGCAAAAAACAGCTGTCAAGTTATGAATTAAGAGCAATACGAATTTATCTCGGAATTCAGAGGTTTTGACATAGAACAGAAAATACTTTCTCCTTCACCATCTTGACTGCAGCTATCTTTCCAATAGCTATGCATCTATGTTCACCTTTGAAATGGAAAGATAATTCAGAGCAGTGCCTTGTCAATTTCCTCATATTATCTAGGCAATGTTTTGAAAGATAACTATAATCTTCTGGAAGACAGATACCAGAAGTGAAGGTGGACTTTGAAGATAAGAAACCTGCCAGTCAAATGGTGAAACTGAATTGACAGTTAAAAAACGTTGCATGAACTCTTGGCAATAGATGGGGCAATTTTGATATAATTAGGCTATGGATTTCGTTGCTGGCTAGTGAACATTAATTAGGCAGTTGCTCATTATGAAGGCATGTAACATGTAGTGATGCATCTAGTGATGCCAATAGAACAAGTAGAGAAATCCATCAATGAAAGAGCTATTTTACGTTTTAAAAAAGACCACTTTATCGTATCATTTTGCCTTAATAAAAGACTTTATGAATAACTGTACTTGTAATATGTATTACAAAATATTTTAGGAATGGCAATACAGTGAATAAGAGCTATTAAGGACCTTTAAATATAGGGATTTAAACTTAGGAAGCTTGTGGGGAAAAGTGAACTAAATGAAACATTTTAAACCAGATTTTTCATAGTACTAGTCTTACAAATTCCCAATCAGATACTCAAACGCCATATACCTACAGTACACTCAATTTTGCTGAATCCTAGGTTTCTTAAGGCTTTTGTCTGACTCACTTCCAGAAAACTTTATTTCAGTTGATTAGCTAATTTAGAATTTGTATACAGAAAAGCATAACCTTAAAACAACATTGTTTTAAACAATGCTTTCACATGCAGTTACTTGTAAGAGGCATTCCTTTTGTGTGATATTGATAAATTGCCTCAGGGTAGTCTCTTCTTGAGTAGCAACTAGGACATGGAAGAGCATGTTCAGTCAACATCACCTGCACCTCAACAGAGAAGCAAAAACTAGATCCTGAGCTTGAGATTGGCACTATGGAAACAGAAGGTCCAAAGCAATCAGTCCTCTGAGGAAAATATCCAATTACAAATAAAATATGCACGAATCTGATTGTGAAAACTTTTTATTCAATAAAATTTCAGGGTGGTAGTCTTCTGCCTTTTATTGCCAGTCTTTAATGTGGGCTACATATTTTATTATTTCAACTATTACTTTTTAACTATAACTAAGTTGTACAAAAGCTATGCAGATTTTGTACACCACTTGGAAACACATGACATGAAAGCATGACAAGCAATAGATAAATTAAAGAAAATAAATGCATAAATTAGAGATTGCTCCTGGATTTGAAACTTCATGGAAGACACCACAATTCATCAGGCTAGATACTTCTCCAGTTCCCAAAACTTATCAGTGCAGGTGAGAAACCCATTGGAAACCGTAATTCATGCTACAAGAGCTTTATTATTCAGACATGGAAGATAGTTCCTGGGAACAGAGGGAGATAAAAGGGTAAAAGACCAATCATTTGAAGCTAGGACTCTCAGCACTGACCTTCTTGCTTTTCCTGAAGGTCAGACCTTTATTAGCTGGCTGCATCTGCCTACATACTTTACTGCCTTTTTCACTAAATCCAGTTCGCACCCTCTGCCTCCCGCGTTGCTTACAGTATTTACTGCCTCAAAGCAAGACAATGCATATTATTTATTGTTATAACCATTTGCATTAAACACTGAATTATTTTAAAAATCTGTTGTTAAATTTATCTTTGATAACTTTTAGTAAAAAAAAAGAGTCTTATTAGCATGTCTTTAAATATTGCAGCATTACAAACACACACACACACACGGATGTGTGTGTGTGTGTGTGTGTGTATCTTATATAGAGGTAGTCCGTCACTTATGATCATTCATTCAGCAACTGTTTTGAAATGAACAAAGGGGTACGGCTACTCATTGCCCCCATAGTAACATGAACAAAGGCACTTGGGAATCTGCCTGCTCTTATTACCGACTCCAGGGATTTTGCAGTGCCTCCATGTCTATCTTCTCCCACATCCCACTCTGCTGGGTTCCCATAGGCCTTAGGCCTGCTTCCCACCTCGCCTGGCCCTACACCTCTTTCCTACCTTTTCCGTAAATAACCTTTGGGAAATAGTCATTCCATCACATGGACTTTCTATATAGAGACCATGTGGCACTACTGCAGAAATGGGTATCATTTGGGGAATTGTGACTGCTCTGAAATGGCACCCACTTCTCAGCAGTAGTATGTGGCATCTGTACTGAATAGGAAGGGCGAGGAACAGATTGGCCTGTTCTCCCTCCCAAATACAATCACTGGAGCCATATAGGCCTTTTTGTAGAAAAGCTACATAGCTGCCTCTTTCAAAGGAGATTTACAAAAAAAATAAGTTGCCAAGCCAAGATACCTGGTGGGGAGGAGGGTTGTGGGTCCCAGTGGGGTGGACAGTAGGCCCAAGCTCTGCGAGAATCCAGCAGGTTGGCAAACAGAGCATGGGATGCCACAGAGAACAGGGGGAGACCCTGGAAGGCCATGTGTGAACTGGGAAAGCCCTGCAGTGTAGGTATTGGCCTGTACCAGACCTCTTAGGACTTCCCCCGTGCCCCTGGGAACCCAGTGCTCTGCTTAACAAATGCAACTATGAGAGCGAGATTGAGATCACTAAGCAGGTGATCACGTGGGCAGCTCATTTAACGATCCTTACAACTAAGTGAGTGACCATAATGGGCAGGCTCCATTACAGCCATAAGTTGAGGACTACCTATATATAAGGGTGATGCTTATAAAAAAAACACTGACTTTCCTAATAAATAGAAATATCCTATTAGAATAGCTAATGAAATAAAAACATAGCCAAACGAAGCATGTGCAAAGAATCAGTGTCTTCTTGGGCTTAGATTTAGGTAAGCATCTTTGCCTGAATTAAACGAATTATCCTAATTAACAGAAAATTTGCCACATCCAGAGAAAATCTCAATATCTCTCTTACACCCCCCCCCCCCACAATCTTAAATAAACAGAATGTCATATTTATGTTCAAGAAATGAACTTAAAATTTAAACATGTGCACACATGCACAGGAAGTAAAATATGCTTGTGAGATAGCCCAAGTTTACTATTGGAAGAAATGAGAAGCCAGTGAGGGAGTCCTTGCTCAAGACAATTATTATCTGCCTCCTCTGAACCTATCCACTTAATTTTCTGAAATGGGCAGATGAATGAGGATAATGATGCCTCTCCTTTTAGATATACTATCTGCTGTCCTGCAAGATTGTTCCCATTCAGTTTTCTGTTGAAGTTTTTCATTGCATAAAAATATGTATAATTTTAAGGCCAACCATACTCACTACTATGATTGTGGTACTGACCAAGTCAAGTTTGCTTTTAAATTTCTTGACAGATAATGAATTTCTAACAGATTACATTTCTGACTCATTTATTATCAAAAAACAAACATTTGATTCCACACATGCCTCTTTATTGCCCTATGATCCTTTGCAGTGGTTTCTTGGACCATCCCCAATCTGGTTTGCTTCTAGTTAGTATGCTATGCCAATAATCCAGCATAACTGCCTCTTGAACACTCTCCCATGAAACAAGCAAACTGCTGCTCTCCAGCTAATTGAAGCTCTTTGTTCTGTCTAACTCTTGCAAATGATTACGTTTTAAAGACATTACGAGGAAAGAAAAAAATTCTTTCCAAACAAGGCAACAGTAGATTATAAAATAAACTGCATCAACATAAAGAACACATTATTTTGTGATCCACTGCAATGATTTTGTTGAAAATTGATATTTATCAATCTAATTCTACTTTTGGTGAAAGGCAGGGCATTTTTAGGCCAACTGAAATATTTATGATGTCACATTCTTTGTAAAGAAAATTACTCCAGAAACATTCATGTCTAATTCTAAGAACAAATTCCATTATACCTGTGGAATGATGTAGTCATTGAATGGCTGGCACTGATAGCAGGCAACACTGTCCAGCACCCACTCACGTGAAACTACAGCAATGCTGCATTGCAGGGGGAGCTCTGCAAAATACCAGACAAGCAGTGAGACATTTAATGCCTATATCTTCTTCTTGAGAGTTCTTTCTTTAAGCCACTTCAATGAATAACATTTCAAATTCTAAGCATAGAAAATCATAAGGTTTTCCATTGTTGTTATAACCATCCTTTACAAGACAATGTGTATAGGTAAGAGAGAACCTTTTTATTCATAATATTGCATTCTCTGATTTTCCAAAAGCACATATGGAAAATTGAAAGATGACAAACTCTCATTTATATTACTGTTTGGAGAAACTTCTAAACAGTGCAGGTAGAGGCAGGTATTTCAAAGTTCTTTGCTCCATATCTTTCTCCCTGTAAGAGACAGTAAATCATATGCTTCAAATATCCTGGAGAACCTGGGATCTAACAGAAGACTGGAAAAGAGCTGATGTGGTTCCATCTTTAAGAAAGGAAAAAATCAGACCCCAAAAAACTATAGATCAATCAGAGAAGATCCTGGAAAAGATAATCAAGCAGCAGATCTGCAAACAACTAAAAGCAAGCAAAGCTACAACTAGTAGCCAACATGGGTTTGTCAAAAACAGACATTTCAAACAAATCTTATTTCATTTTTTGACTAAATTAGTGGATCACCAAAATGCAGTGGGCACAGTATTACTTGGATTTCAGTAAGGCATTTGAAAAAGTTGATCACAATCTTTTTCTTGGTAAAATAGAAAAATGTGGGATAGACTGCATCATCACACAATGGATTTGTAACGATCTGACAAATCACACTCCACATATAGTTCTTATCAGAACTATATCTACACTGTAAGCAGTATTAGACACAATATTTTGCAATAAGTTCGTAAAGAATTTAGATGAGGGAATAGAAGAGGAACTCATTAAATTTGCAGATGACCCCAAGCTGAAAGGAATAGCCAAAGACAGGCTCAAGATCCAGATGGATCTCAATAAACTAGTTCATTGGGCCTATCCAACAAAATGAAATTTAACATAGAGAAAAGTGAAGTTTTACACTTAAGCAAGAAAAATCAAAAGTACAAGTACAGACTAAGTGAAACCTGGCTCAACATTAGTAATGGGAAAGGGATTTTGAAGTCCTAGTGGACAACCATCTAAACACGAGCTAATAGTATGCAGCAGCAGTCAAAAAGGCCAATGCTATCCTAGGTTGCATAACAGAGAGATATAATCAAGATCACGTGAAGTACCAGTACTGTTTTATAAAGCCTTGGGAAGACTGCACTTAGAATACTGCGTCCAGTTTTGGTCATCCCAATACAAAAAAGGTGTTGAAACTTTGGAAAGAGTTCAGAGAAGAGCAGCAAAATTATTACGTGCCTAAAAACTAAAACATACAAAGAACTAACTGGGTATACCTAGTCTAGTACAAAGAAGGACAAGGGTGACATGATAGCAATTTTTCAATACTTCCAGAGTTGCCATAAGGAAGAGGGGGCAACTTATTTACCAAAGCACCTGTAGGCAAGGCAAGAAATAATGGATGGAAACTAACCAAAGAGGGGAAACTAATCAAGGAAAGAAGCAACCTAAAACTAAGGAACATATTCCTAACATGAGAACAATTAACCAGTGGAACAAATTGCCTTTGGAAGTTGTGGGTGCCCCATTCATCACTGGAGGCTTTTAAGAAGAGACTGGACAGCCATTTATCGGAAATAGCATAGGTCTCCTGAGAAAACAGAGGGTTGGACTAGATGACCACCAAGGTACCTTCCAACTCTGCTCTGTTAAGGAACAGTAATGTCTTTTACCAATTTCATAGGGAACAGAAGTTGGTGATAATCAGTTATAGCTGATGATTAAAGCTAACCATACTTCTTACTCCCTCACATGTTTATCTGCTGCAGTATTTTATTATACCAAGTAAGAAGTCAGTCAGACATTTTGTAAAGCCTTTATGACTGAGGTGACATAAGCAGTATTATCATCTCACCTTGGCAGGTGCTTTCTTCTGTCCATGCATCAGGCTGAACAACTATCACAGCAGTGGAGTTCTAAATGATCACAGGATAAAAGACAAAAAGGAAAAGGAAAGTGGCATAGAGGATCAATGCATCTTTCCTGTACACAATTTGTACTGCTAAGGCATATTATTCTTCAGCTTTGCTGTAATACTCCAATCAGATGGGGAGTCACAGAAGAAATAAAATTTTTGCAGGCAAACAACTACTCTACGTGACAAATAAAAGTTAAAGGAGATACATGATACTCATGGGAAAGCCATGACATAATATAAAGGTTACACATTGTAGTTTATGAGATGCTGTACACTGATATGTCACCACTCATTTACAAAATATTTTCTCTTAAAAGGAAATGAGTGCTGTACGCAAGTCTTCTTAGTGGATGACCTATTGCAATCCCACAGAGCTGCATGCATCTGCAGAAGAAAATATTCGACCCCTTAGCTCTATGTTTATTTGCAATGACTTGGGTGAGGGGATTTCTAGTAGCAATACAGGACAAGATAAGCCACTAATCTGATTCTATATCTAAGCAGAACCAGCTAAATTTACCAGCATCTTGAAAGAATAAAGGGAAGGTGGGAAATGATGATTATTGGTATCTTTCTTTCTCAAACTGGCCCATATAGTTATCAGGCTTACTGTTGCATTTGTAAATAAGTGAGGTTCCTTCACAAGGGAGGCGCCACAGAGTTCTACAATCCATTCCAGTTGTTCTGAGAAATTCCCAAAAGATAAACAAAATGCATTATATATAATGGCAAAGTATTTTATCCCCTCATAAGATGTTAAGCCCAAATTGAAGACCACCGACATTACAAGCAAATTTATTTTGAGTTCTTCAGTTGCATATTCTATATTTCTGAATCCTGTCAAAATGGAACTTAGCGCTAGTCACAAAATGTAACCACCAAATTCAAACTTGTACAGGTTCCTCAGCTTATAACTATAATTGGGATTAGACTCTCAGTTTTTTAACAAAATAATTATTAAGCAAGACATTATGTGGCTGCTTTGCATAATGATTGCTTTCCCAACAGTCCCACTTATGGTCATTAAGGATCTTGTGGGTTCTTAAGTGGACAGAGTCCCAAGTAAATAGCACAGAGTGCCTCAGAGGGGTGGGCAACCTTCCCTGCCAGCTTTCAATTGCCTTTCTGAGGAAGCCAACAGAGTATATTGGATCACTTGGTAACTGTTCATAAGTCCAAATAGGTTGTCAAACACCCAGATTGCGGTCACATGATTATTGTGGGAATATGTTGCAACAGTTGGAAATCCTTTGCAGGCCATAAACCACCCTTTCCAAGGTTGTTGCTAAATAATAAAGATGCGATACTGAATTTTATTTTAGTCTTTCAAGATATTAGCTATCCTATATTTTGTGCCATTTGCAAATATTCTAAGCATTCCCTCTTCCGGATACTAAGTTATTTAATTTTAAGAAAAGAGATGAACAGATAGCATTTAACCAAGACAGCATACAATCCTTGCAACTTGCATTTTAAGAACTATTCATCAAGCAAGTCAATAAAGATAAGGAGACAGACACATCACAATTTGAGAAAGAATATGGATATAACTATCTACACAGCCAGAACGATCATCTCTGTTAATGATGATCAGGAGCAGAATGAATTATGCAGAAATGGCCAAACATATGTACATTAATTTAGCTTAAAAAATTTGAGGTAAGAAATGTCTCTGCAGCAGGACATAAACCTTGCTTTACTAAAGGATAAATATTATTGAGTGAGCAAAGAAAATTAAGCTATTAAAGCTTGTTAGCTTTTTCTCAAAAAGTTGGATCATTTCTTGACAGAACTCAATTGTTTACACAACCAAAAAGGGGAGTAAAGAGACTTCAATTAGATTCATTCCCTCAACTTATGTCAAGAATCCCAATCCCCTTACCTGGGAGCATGTCAGTGAATGGTCCATAGCAACAAATCTCCAATCCTTGGAAAAGCTGGGAAGGAAAACAGATATGTAAGCATGGTGTAGAATTACACTATGAAATAAGAACTTGTAAAGTTACCAGCTAGATCAGAATGTGTCCAACTCACATGATTTGAACACAATAACAACTACATTCAGGAATATCATTGATTGACAATGGAATACGTCAGCTAAAGAAGACTGACAATGAGACATTTCGGTGAGACTGGAGACATATCTGATATGAAGTTTCTGAACAGTTTAAATTGTTAACCAGAAGAAAATTCAGTTAATCTGCTTCACTTTTAAAAAAAATAGTTAGGCACTGAGTACAGAAGTGGCTGAGAAGCAAGAACTTTGGGAAGTAAAATTCTTAAAGGCAGAGAAATTCATAGGATAAGATAATCGAATACTATACACATCTATATCTTCCACCTGAAAACAATCAAGCCAATGGAACTGGAAAAGAAACTGAAGTAGCTACTGGTTAGCGTTATCAACTTTTAGCCAATGGGAATACTGTAGCTGATGTATGTTGCATTGGCTTCATCAATTTCACCTTTCCAGCTTTCTACCAAGCATTTAGCTTGGAAGAGACTTTCCTAGTGAGAGGGAAGGCAAGAGAGAATCTGGAAATATCTTTCTGGACTATTACAATGGCCTGGGAAAAGAAGGGACCAACTTAAACTGGTATCACCCCTCCTTCCCACCCACATTCTATCCAGCATTCAAATCTGTGCAGGAACAGAGGCAGGCCTCTAAAACTTTGGATTCCAAGAAGAGCAGAGACCGACTAAATAAATGAAAATGAAATAGCAGGATGCAAGCACTGCTGCTTCTGCAACATTATTTGCACTAATTCCCAGCTATGATTCCTCATTATAATCTCCTTCCCTCATTTTTTTTTTTTGAATGGGGGTTAGTTATGTTCTTCTATGGCAACAGGGCATTTTGAATTATAGCTGTCCCTTTTCTTATAATTTCTGAATGTATTATCTTAACGCTCAGGAAATAAGTCACTTTTTAAAGAGGAAATCACACCATCTCAATCTCTATCCTCATTTGGGACAATACCATTCCACTTAAAGAAATCTGAAAAACTTTGGGATAGGCTAAGAAACGCTAATGCTGCAAAAATTATTCAAGCAGGCTATGTTATTTATATGGATACATTTTATATCCAACATAATTGCATTCTATGTTTCTTCTCCTAAGGATCATAATGGCCTGCGGAAAAAATGAAAGTCCTTCTCAGGATTTTACTTTGTGAAAGCAATCTTTTTCTCCTTTTTCTCAAACTTCTTCATTTCCTATGATGACAAAGAAGAGGGGCACACTTTAGGGATAACTTTTTTCTTTTATGAAGCACTGCTTACGATAGCCATACCTTTCCAACAGGTGATTCTCTTGCTCTTTTAGGTCCTTGATGGTTTCTCCCATTGATTACATCTCCTCTCACTTCAAAATCTTCCTGAAAACAAAGCAAATACAGTCAGATGCTAATGAATTCCTGGCTGAGTCATATCTTATGTGACTGAAGCAGAAAAAGAATAATGGCATGTAGAGGTCAAATATCAAACTAAAGCAGTAGAAAGAATGTATGAATGCAGCAGTACAATTCTTATTCCACATTTTATTGTTAAAAAAGGATGTTTAAATTATATTTAACTGGAAACCATTATCTAATTAAGCAAATTCCCTTTAGCAATTTTAATATACATATTCAATAATAATACAGCAATATGATCAATGGCAGGATAAGATGGTGGTTGAACACACAAGTTAGCTATGACATGTTATATGTACCAAGGATCAAAATTATAGCATTAAACGCTTTTGGAGAAAATCTATCCATTGTCTAACTGCTGACCTCTCCTCTAGAATGGGAAGGACAATATATTTTTCAACTTCTTCCTTCAACATAAGGGGCAGCTCAAACAGGACTCAGGCAGAATTTTCCTGAAGCTTTACAGTTTTATTCTAATTGAGTGGGAAAATGAAAAAAAAAATGGGGCGCTGAAAGGAAAGGACTGAAAAATAATTCAAAGTTATTCTAGCTGTCATTCAGAAAAACAGAGTCAGAGCTAGATGCCACCATATATAACATGCTATAATTTCTTCCTCTGATAACATTGGTAAATAAAACCCATCAAATCGTTAATCTCTGCCATCAATTTAGATTAACTTCAAGTTAGTTGCCAAGTCAGGAACCTCAAACAACCAAACATGCAGAGCAGTGCCTAACTGTCAGTGCTTCTCCCTAACTCAGCAAAGGAGGAGAAGAAATTCCCTCAGCACTCTTAATCTCTTGCAGGATTAAGGGTCCTAGGAAATCCAGGAAGACACAGGACCCAGCCTGTACAGCAGTTATTCCAGCTAAATACCAGTATCTTTCATCCAACAAAATTTGTCAATTCTTTCAAATTGTCCAAAGTTTGTTTGTTACTTTGGGAAACAGAACATTTATTGTGTTATTATTTCTAAAATTTTAAATGTATGCTATGCCTTTCAGTGGCTTGATTCCATTTTAGCATGTGACAGGCAAAATATCAGATGCAGTGCCTGAAGAAAGAAAAAACCAAGCTCCTGTTGAAGGAAATTGTGTTTCCAATCCTGTAAAGAATGGCCTTGCCTGTTGTTAGTTACTCTTCTCCTCTCAAGAGGCAATGCATAGACATATTAAGGATTTTTCTATTTTTCTTGTCTAGTCTCTTCTTGGTCATTAGAATCTACTAAATATTCAATCAATCAATCAATTTTGTTTACACTCCAAAGGTCCAAAAGCTAGTTACACACACAATGTAAACATAGTACTGGATAAAACAAGTAAACTATTTAGTAAATATTACATAGTAGACTTAAAACAAATCATTGGTTCATTATTAATAGCTTTAGTTTTACAGCCATAGTTAACTGTTGCCACTGTAATTTGTTTACAGGATTTTCATCTGCAAGTAAATTTTTACATACTCAGAAATATCTTTCCTTGGTTTAGATATTTAAAATATGCCAGATACTTTTCTGAAGATTTATAAGATTCACATTTATAATGCATTATACATACATTAAATTACTATCACAATATTATACTGAGAATTGTATAAGATTAAGCATTTAAAGGAATTGCAAAAAAAGATATACTAATTAATCATCGATTTCTCCCACCTTCCTCATTTAAGGACTTTGCAAGCATACCGTTCTGGTTAAAAAATAAAAACCACCTATCCCTTCCCATAAACACAGACATACCTCGTTAAGAACTCTTCCTGCTTCGAATGAATGAATAATCCCTAGATCAGTTGAAGCAGAAATTATTATTACTATTTAAAGTAGCACTTTGTATCATTTGTATCATTTATTTTAAAAATACAACAGACAACTGCATGGAGAGTTGCAAATGTCCATATTTATATAATAGTGCCTGCCAGCAGCATTACTATGCACCACTAGAAACCTTACCTCCCTATCCCTTCCAGATTTTAAAATTCATTCTCTACAAGAATTCCTGAAATTGTTTGTGGTTAACTTTTGGAGATAATGCCAGTCCCTTTAAGAGCAACTGTAGGCAAAATAATGTATCACAATATCACAGGAAAAAATACATGTCTGGTAATCAGAAACAATCAAATTAAATTATATGAAATAAGCAGCACAAACTCAAGTGCTTGGTTTTCTTTTCTTGTTCCCATATTTTCAATAACAATTTTCCACATTTTAAAATCATATTCTAGGAAGTTCTTGGAGGAGAATGGTATAAATATGAAAATGAAACAAATACAAAAATATATCTACCTTTGTTAGCAAGACCCTAGATAAAACTTGGGAAAATCTAGTATCAGAGTATCAGAACAATTAATTTTTGTTTAGCTTAGCTAAAAGGATTGAAGATCGGATGTAGGCAAACTAAATTCAGACCAAAGCATTAGTTTGCTTTAATAATTCCATAGATTTTTTGTCCACAATTCATACCTGATCTTCAAAGCTCATGCAAGATTCTAGATAATATTTCTGTGTTTCACTATAATGCAAAGAATTAGTAGCATATACTTTGAATATCTACTAGTATTTTATCTGGTTTTGCTCAAGAAAGAAACAATCTTGAACTATCCTTGGTATCAGTCAAGCTAGAAAATGTGAATCTTTCTTTCTACTCAGTGTTTGACATTTACTAAAGATAAATGTTTCCTTTTGACTAGTTGATACTCCATGGATTTATGGAACTGTCCAATATGGTATTACTGCCTTTATTTTCCTATATTGTTTAATATTATTTTATTTGATGAATTTTGATGAAATGTTTCTTTTTTAGCTAAAGGCAAAATGTCAAATATAATTGCACAGCTAACTTACAATAATTTATTGTATTTTAATGATATGAACTGTTTATTAATAAGAATCTATGCCTGAACACTAAACTGAAATACACAATGCACCATAAAGGAAGTGTGTATTGTGGTTCACCAGCAGCTGGTCAGATGGCATAAGTATCAGACAGTGAGGACGAAAGGGAGCCAGTCAGGGAATTTGGACAGGACTTGGACGAAGGTCCTGCATCCTATGCAGGGATGGGGCCAGGACCATCTGGGAGTAAGGTGCTGCCTTCGGAGCCTGGCAGCAGCGAAGCAGAGGACCCAGGGGAGCCTGTTCCCAGTGCGTGTGTCAGCAGAGCTGCTAGAAGGCGAGAACAGCTGAAGCAGAAGGGGCTACTCGGGAGTAAGGCTGGGAGGTGATTCCCCCCCCCCCTTAAGGGATAAAAGTCAGGCCTCAATGAGGAAGAGCTTTGCAGGAAGCAAAGCAGTTCGATAATTTCCGAGCCCTTCATGAAGCTTTGTGTACTCTGGTTGTTTTTTTCTGGGTTTTTGGATTGGTTTATGTTAGCCTTAATTGGGCTTGTTTTTTGGCAGCATTCTACAGAAATGAAAAGCATGCTCTTATCTGGAGGAAGTGTGTATAATTAGTTTTGACTGGAAATGCAAGTAATTTCCAGCATCACATTAAAATAGGTTTTACTTTTAAATTCAGTTTGTGTTTTATTAAGTTTGACGAAGCCTGGGTCAGAACAGTGTGCATGGACAGAGGGAATTTTTAAAAATTAAATATTCACACTTACACTGGTAGCTCAATATCCATTTTTGTGCAGCAATACCTGTAAAGTATTTCAGGGTTCTCTCACAGACCAGATCCTCATCTGAAGAAGAGAGAAAAAAATCACTTAGTGTTCAATATTAAACAAATAAAGACCACTGATTATTTTTAAAATATTTTCTTTACAGAAGGTCTGCACACAATGTCAGAAGCTGCTTTCAAAGATATGTCCAGTTTCAAAAGCAGCTTGTTGAAGTTGCAGAGACTGGAGCTTTACTGATTAAATGATTACATACCTTCTTTTAAAATGATATTTTTCATAACCTGGCCAATACAATGGTTTGAAACAACATAAAGTGAAAGATTGCAAATTGTATCTGAAAATATAGACTACAAAAAAGCTTAGCTTCCTTTATGCAAATGGATAGAATGGAGTCTTCTTAATGGTAGATAAAAGAACAGAAGAACTGTATTACAGTTAGTGACTTGCAATAGTGCAGAGGCAAGTAAACAGTCCTTCAGACAAGGGTCAGTGGCTCTTTTGATGCTCACCCTCCTTGAGTTTGCAAATTTGCTAAATAGCAGCCACAGATTACAGACTGTCCAAATGAAGTAAGAGAAAAACAACTGAAATCTTACAGGATTTCTATGTTAGCATATGATCTTATTAGCTCTTGGAGTAATAATATTACAAAAATCTTATGTGATTTAGTAAACCTGTCAGATTGCAATTGTTTTTAAAGTTTCCTTTTCAACACTTTTATCTTTCATGTAATAACTTTAGAAGCTGAAAAAAATAGATACTGTTTGCAATCACACTTCTGACATTCAAAAGAGGGAAAGAAATAGACTTTTCTAGGAATTCTGGTTCATCCACGACCATACCTTTCCTCACTTTAATATTCAGTGAATATTTATTTGAGGAAAACATCAGGTTGCCAAAACTGCACTATCTCTCAGTTGCAATGAACCCAATTTAAATACTGTATTAACTCAAAGGAAGCTGACACAGCATCCTGAATAAGTAGCAGTGTATATATTTGTTTACCATGATAATTTATTTGTTTTTGAACTTTCTTTACCTAATGGTTAACCTTTCTAGTTGATTTGTAGCTTTTGTTTGCCTTCTAGATATAAATTCAAACATTGAATCACATTTTATTGTGTTCTGCTGCTACAATGTTGGGACAGAAAAAGAAAAAATAGTTTTGCATACGAGTGTGAAACAGGAAATGGAATCAAAACATAACAGGAAATGTATGGATTTTAATTCAGGACTTCCAAGACCATTACACACCATTACAATTACGATCTCTCATCCCTTGATTGGCAATTTTTATTCACTGGATGCAATACTGTTGAAGTCCAATACAACGTATTTTTACTTGAAGTCAAAAGAGTCATCAATCTATATGTACCAATAACAATTCCCAAAACCAGAAAAAACAGATTACCCATAACAATAAGGAAACTTCAATCCACAAAGAGATCACTTTGGCGGAAAAACAAATCTGGTCACGTTGCCAACTTCAAAAGCCGATACAAAAATTTATGCCACCAGATAAAGACTGAATGCACCAACTATCACATTAAACAAGAGGAAAACCTTCTACGCACAAATTCCACCCCCACTTTCTACAATTTTGTAAACAACAAACTAAAAGACTCAAGTCCATCCCACCCCTGAAAGGACCAAATGGTAAAGACTGCAACGACACCATTAAAGCCAACCTCTTTAACACATTCTTTGGCTCAGTATTTGTAAACAACAATGGATCATGCCCAGTATTTCCTAGTCGAACCACAGGCAACTACAATGATCTAATACATATCGATTTTACAGAAAACAATGTTGAAAAAGCACTACGCAATCTAAAACCTTCTCTATCTATTGGTCCGAACGGAATATGTGCCTACTTAAAAAAGCTATCCACTGCCATAGCTGAACCTCTAAGCATAATCTTTGAAAAATCTTTCAGGACCAGCTCCTTGCCTAACCTTTGGTCACAAGCCAGGTCATCCCCATCTTCAAAAAGGGAGACCCCAGCTTAGTTGAAAATTACAGGCCAATCTTTTTATGCTGTGTTACCTGTAAAGTCATGGAATCAATTATTAACCAATCCATTATCCTCCACTTTGAGACAAACAACCTGATCTCTAATAAACAATTTGGTTTTAGAAAAAAACTATCCTGTAATCTGCAACTCTTACACTGAAAAAACACATGGACTACACAACTCGATCAGGCAAAGCAATAGACGCAATCTACATAGACTTCTGTAAAGCCTTTGATTCAGTGGTACACGACAAACTACTCCTAAAACTAAAATCTTATGGTATCTCTGGACACCTGCATAACTGGATAGAAGCATTCCTGTCAAACAGACAACAAATGGTCAAAATTGGGAGCGTCCTATCAAATTCTGTACCTGCCAACAGTGGTGTCCCCCAAGGCAGTGTTCTAGGACCAACTCTTTTCATACTGTACATAAATGACCTCTCTGATCATATCAACGGCGTTCTCTTCGCTGATGATGTAAAGCTATTCAACACCACAGACAATACTACTACCCTTCAAAAAGACCTCGACTATGTATCAGAATGGTCAAACCAATGGCAACTTCAAATCACAACAAGTAAATGCTCTGTCTTACATATTGGCAAAAAAAAAAATCAGAAAACAAAATACAAGCTGACTAGTCAAGACCTTGTTGATGATCGAAACTCTGTCAAGGACCTTGGAATTCTCATCTCAATTCTGATCTAAGTGCTAGAGCCCACTGTAACTACATAGCCAAAAAAGACATTAAGAGTTGTTAACCTAATCCTACGTAGCTTTTTATCTGGTAATATCACACTACTAACTAGAGCATACAAAACATTTGCTGGAGCAATACTCGAATACAGCTCATCAGTCTGGAACCCGCATTACGTATCTGATATTAACACAGTTGAGAAAGTCCAGAAATATTTCAAGCAGATTACAAGCAGAAAGACTGAGAAAGTGTCTTTTTAAAATCCTGTTGTTTTTGGCAGGTGGCCTTCCCAGGCTCATTATCTTGTTGTTTTTAGCAGGTGGCTTCCTAGTGTTTTTATCATTCATACCTAATGATTCTCTCCGAATTTGAGAAATGATGTTATGTAAATATTTATCAATGTTTTCCCAGTCTTATGTGCTCCTTTCTCAAAACTCCAGAGTTTCTCACGACAGTTCTCAGAGGAGCTTCTAAGATACAATAGAAAAGTGATTTATGCTTATTGGTTTCTGCTCACCCCCAGTGATATATATATATATTTTTTACTCCTGCTGGAGATTTCATATTCTGTTTGCAAAACTAACCATTTTGGCAACAAGGGCAATCGGTGAGACTGAGTTCAATAAAAGAAAGGATTCAGGCATAATAACCTATATTCTTTCTTGCTTACCCAATTATTAAATGAGTTTTGGGGCACTTGTCATTTATCCTGTGCTCATATCCTGTGTACATGCTGGCTTGAACTCTTAAAGTGGTTTAAGATCCTTTCCAGATTAAAACACTCTGACAATAACTTTCAAATTATTCAATCTGGATTACAGACCACTCATCTGCCCTCCCAGCCGTCTATTCTAAATTCTAAAGCTATTTAACACCACAGACAATACTGCTACCCTTCAAAAAGACTTTGACTATATATCAGAATGGTCAAACCAATGGCAACTTCAAATCTCAACAAATAAATGCTCTGTCCTACATATTGGCAAAAAAAATCAGAAAATAAAATACAGGCTGAATAGTCAAGACCTTGTTGATGATCCAAACTCTGTCAAGGATCTTGGAGTATTCATCTCTAATGACCTAAGTGCTAGAGCCCACTGTAACTACATAGCCAAAAAGGTGTTAAGAGTTGTTAACCTAATCCTATGTAGCTTTTTCTCTGGTAATATCACACTACTAACTAGAGCATACAAAACATTTGCTGGAGCAATACTTGAATACAGCTCATCAGTCTGGAACCCACATTACGTATCTGATATTAACACAGTTGAGAAAGTCCAGAAATATTTCACAAGAAGAGTTTTCCACTCCTCTACTTGTTGCAGTATACCTTATGCCACCAGACTTGAAATTCTAGGCCTAGAAAACCTAGAACTACGCCGTCTTTGGTCCGATCTAAATATAGTATATAAAATAATATATTGCAATGTCCTACCTGTCAATTAATACTTCAGCTTCAACCACAACAATACAAGAGCACACAACAGATACAAACTCAAGGTAAACCGTACCAAACTTGATTGCTGGAAATACGACTTCAGCAACAGAGTGGTCAATGTCTGGAATACTCTACCTGACTCTGTGGTTTCTTCCCCAAACCCTAAAAACTTTAATCTTAGACTATCTACTATTGACCTCACCCCTTTCCAAAGAGGTCTGTATGGGGCGTGCATAAGCGCACCAATGTGTCTACCATCCCTGTCCTATTGTTTCTTTTATTTTTCTTATATGTATCCATTTCATGTATTCATAACTATGTTTATTCTTATACCTACTATCTTGTAAGCGATTGACAAATCAAATTAAATAACAAATAAAAATAAAAAAAATTATTAGGAGATATACTGACCAATATTTTTTGGCACAAAAAAGCTAGCCAGATGTTTTTGGGAGGAATAGTAGTAGTATATGATACAAGAATGTTTTGTTAATCACTACATCCAATATTTAACAATTGGAAAAATAACCTCCGAACATGAATGAGCAACCGTGTAAAATAGAATTTGGCAGATCTAAAATAGGCAAGACTAGCTATTGCATATTAATATTAAATTAAGATCTCACAGTCATAAAGGTATACCAACCCACCCAATCAATTATGAAGATAAAACAAATAGGAAGTTCACTTCTGTGTTTCTAACTCACCTGTTTTCATTATTACATGGGTTGTTTTTTCAGTAATTTTATTACACCAAGTGCTCTCAGTTTTCTTGGCAAATTTACGTACTAGTTTCTAGAAGAAGATAAAAACTGAATTAGAAACAATTGGCTTTATTAGAGATTACTGGCTTCTCAACGGCATCCGTTTTGTTCTGTTTTTGGCTCATTCTAGGTGGCAGGGATCGCCGCTGCTGCCTATCCTACTGCACCACCTCAGCTCTTATAGGAGAAATAAATCCTTTATCTCTCCTGCTCTCAAATTGTAATGGTTATAATCAAGACCTTGAATTGGAAACAGATGCATAATAACAAAAAAGTGAGTAACTTGATGCTAATAACTGGAGATGGTCTGGAATTCAATTGCCATGTTTAAAATCTATTTCATTTACAGCGTATAGTAATCCAAAGATAATTAAGATATTTACATAGCCAACTAGTACAGATTTTAGAAAGAGGTACAACTAATAGATGAGCCTAACTGAACACAAGTGAGCCACAATTGCTACTGGAATATAAATCAAGGTAAAGTCAAGGAGCACCTTTAGTGTAATTAAGTTTGGTGACAGATAAAACAAATCAAGACAGTTCAATTAGTTGTCTTAGTTATTCTATTGGATAGAAGAATCTTTCTTCTTTCAATTAACTTTCTACCCTGTTTCTCCAACAATACTGCCTCCCCCAATAGGAAGTCCCAGCATGTTTTATAGGCATGAAATGAAATTAAGCCCCTCCCCCCCAAATTAAGGCCTATATTAAAACATGCGAAATGGGGGGAATGGTGGGGGGGGCTTGCCGTTAGGAAGTACTTTTGTTGCACACCCGGATATGGTGCTGCCTGCGTTGACCCCGATACGAAGTGCCCCACCAACACCGAGGTCAACATCCAAGCCGTCGCCGCCCACCCAAAGATGCAAGGGGGGGGGGAATTAAGTCACCCCCGAAAAGACGGCCTAGCCATTTTTTCAGGGCTCAAAAAAAAATAAGACCCGGCCTTATTATATGAGAAACACAGTACTTGTTCAATTCCATTCAGATTGCCCTTTCAAAATGCATCCCTTCAAATATTTGTATGGTGATACTCAAACTATTGCTGAAAATCTGGTTGTTGGAATGGATACGAAGTCCTTATATAATTTTATATGTTTAAACACTTGATTGGATATATATGACATCTGCTTTTATTGTTTTATTGCTTTATACTTTTTACAAAGTAGCTATGAAAGCAGGTTTATCTTTAAAAGAACGGCTCCCGCAAAATCTTAAAGCTCAGAAAAAATTATATTTGTTGCTATGAAAAAAATCAACAAACATATCAAAGCATGCTTACCAATTCACTCTGGTTTAAACCAGATGCCACCAGAGACATGTTTTGCTTTCTAATCAGAAGTTGTCTCTTTTTATTCCTTTGCTTTGTGCTACAGTAGGTGATATGTGCCAAGGAAGAAACTGTTTTTTTCAATAAAGTGTGCATTTCTAGAAAAGATTTTGAAAAAAATCTTGTTTATATAGTTAATGACATATTTTATATTTGACAACAATTATTATAAAGTTACTTTTTTATCAAAAAAAGATACTATATATTTCCTTCTTAGAGGTGCTTATATCTTTTACTTGTCTATTGGGCATTCAGTTTAATATATGACCTACACAATATTCCAATTATTACTTCTAATTCTCAATCACTTTTAAAAGTAGAAAATATCAAGTGATGCACATGGCAGGATGAACAATAAAATCGAAGATAAAACATGGGGAAAAATATAAAGACATGAAGCAATAATCTTTGTGTTTGTTTATTCTGAACAGCCTCAATATATTTCCTCTCTCCAAAAAGCAATTAAAAAGAAGCAAAATACTTTTTAAACTAGCCAAGAGAACAAACTGATTTGTAGTCAAGTTACCAATAAATATAATCTGCTAAAACTTTTATAAGATGACTCAAAATATGTTATTTTGATCTGAAAGAACAAACAAGGGCTGCGTTAATTAAGTTGTAATCAGTTTGTTTTGGGGTACAAAGAAAACTAATTGATTGATTACTAATTTAATTGATCACTAATTTAATATTTCATATATTTATAGCAAAGGAACTGGTTTTGATTGGATTTGGAGATCCTACAAAAACAAACATCTCTAAGGTTGGTTCCAGCAAAATGAATGTATTTTTACATTATTTTAATTAATGTATTTTCTTAATGTATTCTTCTACTTCAATAAAATGTCAAAAGAATCTCACTATTGGAATCTCGCTATTGTACATTTTGTTGCTCCATGAAACATTTTTGGCTTTCTGATGATATAATAATTAAACTGATCTCCTTTGTGTAGAAGTAAAGTTCAAAAAGAATTGCAAAGAAAAATCCTGGAACAAGTTCATTTCTTGGAGTAACTTTTCTAAGACCAAACAAGTTTTTTCCCCTCAACTAGCTAATACCCCATAACAACAATGCAATAGAAATCCATTTTAAAACCACTGGCATGGCAGCAGAACTCTTGAGTTAATATTCATAAACTCCACTAGTAATAAAACAAAATTAACTCTAAAATTCATCAGTGGCAATCTGTACTATGGTACTATACTACACAGAAGGTATATGTTTAGAATGAAAGAATGTAGATAAAACTGCCAGAAGAAAATAGAGAGCGCCTATAATGGATTGTTCCTCTCAGCTTTGAGTCAATTCCTAGTGGATGCTCACAGTGTATACTTAATCCAGCAAAAATAGAAGATTTAATATTTCTCTGAGAATAAAAAAACAGGATTTATGTATGAAATGTATTCAATAATGTATGAATTTTATACATAAATTCATTACAGGATATTCCATTTAAAAATGAATTACTGTGTTAAGTGTTTTATAAGTAGGAAGAAATTTCTAAATTCTCAGGAAGATTATTTTTGAAAGACAGTTTCAGAGCACTGCCAACTCACCCTTGCTTGTTTCTATCTGGTCTCTTTGGAAATCATCTTCCTCTCTTTCCAGTGACCATCCTACAGGGTCAACATTCTGGCTTCCCTCTTTGAGGGCAGCTTCAATGATAGCCATCTTCTGCTGCAGTTGCTTTAAATTATTTTGCATAGCATCCCTTTGCTACAAACAGAAAAGAACAGATCACAGGCTTGCCTCAGATAACTTTTCATCAATGAACAGAGAATAAAACATTAAGAAGTGAGACACATGGAGAACTTTACATGGTGATATCACAAGCAAATCCTTTCATTGTGGAAGCTCTTTTGTATACTAATACAAAAGTATTAGTATATCTCATTATTCATTTAATAACTTCAGGTTTTGAGTTAATGGCAGCATATAAGTGGCATAAATAAATAAAAGGTAACTCTGTCATTCAGTTCAAAAATGAGGGCAATTGTTTAATTTATATCCCCATCTTAGAAAACAGAGGAAAAAAAGAACACAGTAAACCTCCAACCCTACTCATAATTTTGGCAAACAATCCTGCACTAACAAAACCAGTATCAAGAAAGGAAGTTAGTTGCTTAACTTTTTATGCTTTTATTTGTAAACCATTTGGAGTCACTTGAGAGCTAGATGGGTGATATCTAAATTTGATAAATATTTTTTCCAGTATTCTAATCCTGACCTAAAACTCAAAGATCAGGAGTTCTTCCAATCTGCCTTAAATTGCAAAATAATTATACAATGTATTGCAGGGGAATTACTTAAAATAAGATCCCTTTTCATTTGGTCAAAGACAATATTTTTCACTGTAAATTGTATTGCAATTAAAAAAACAATAAAAACCAAATTTTAAAATGCTAATATACACTTCCATCCAACAGGTAACCTAATTAAGTTCTATTACAAAAAAAAAAAAGAGTAAATAGAAATAAAACCCTAACAGTTAACATATTAAATTGTTATAAATCATCTAAACAAATTACTAATATATAAAAGCAATTTATCAAATCACATAAAAATTTGTCTGTTTGGAATTGTTTTGAATATTATGAAATATGTGCCAAAGGAAAATCATTTTGATTAATGTCTTGATTCATAGAAAAAAAATGCCTTGTCAAAAATTGGCAAGTCACACATTTTTTGAATCTATTCATCGTTAGATAAAACAAACAACGAAAACAAAGAAAAGGGATATGGACACTTATAAATATTTTACACTAGAGCAAAGGTGGTAAATTTATTAAAATAAACTTTAAAAGGCAAAACAAATAAAAGGAATTAAAAAACATGATAGGAAAAGCATTCTAGTAGTTCCCCTCTTCCACCCCTTGAAATGCTAATTGCTACTTAAACATTGTTTTATAATGGTTTGGACATCTGTGATTCTTGCTCATTTCTATCTGAATCTTTTGACTGATTTTAAATAGTTTCCATTTTTCTTCAGAAAACATTTAAACGGACTTGCTGTGTAATATGTTGGGTATAGGAGAATCATTGCTACTTTAATTTGGTGAAATGTCTGCTGTGAATACCATAGTGTTAATGTTTTCATAGGTGCCTATTCTCCATTTTAGTCCCTCAATCTTGTATTGCCAGAAAGCTTTCTCTTTTCCAATGTTGTAGTAAAGTCGTCTCTATCAACATGTAACTTAATAAATTGTGATGCTGTACATTTGTTTTCTAGGATTACATCTAATAAAGGTATTTGTGGTTTTAATTCAAATTTTATTTCCAGAATTTTCTGAATGTTTATTTCTTTCCAGTACTTTTGAGTCTTTTTACAAAACCATCACTTATGATAAAGCATTTCTTTTTTGGGGTGGCATTTTCAGCATTTATTGTTGTATGATTTCCCCCCCTCCTTGGCAATAATTGACAATTGTATACCACCCATATAACATTTTGTCATGAAAGTTTTAACTGTCTTCTTCAAAATTTTATTTCCATTAATTGCTGTAACTGATTTGAAATATATCTTTATGTCCTATAAATTTTTTAGGCCCAATATATTTTTTCCAAATCCATTGTCAATTTTGTGACTGGAATATAATTCCTATTTTTTTTTTCTTCATGTTCTGATACAATCATTTATTCTTCTTCTCTATAGCTTTCATCCTCCTCCTTTCTCTTTTCTAATTTGATATATGTAAAGTTTCTTTGCATTTTCAAACTGTTGTTGAAAATTTAAAGGGAATTTTGACACATTTTATCATTTTTTGGAGTTCTGACATCTTCAACATAGCTAGTGATGTTAATTTCAGTGTTGTCAACCTGGATTGGTCTGCTCTATTTCTTTTATTTTTTCCTTTAATTAAGATTTTCATTGTATTTTTTTATTTGCTGCAAGCTTTATTAAAATATAATTAGCCTGATAGGTACAAGCTTTGCATATACGCTGTCTCCCAAATAGTTACCTCTGACATCCCCAGAATTGTATATATATATTTTTAAAAGAACTCTTTTCTTATTTCTGCAATATACTTTCTTGAAGTAACAGTACCATTCATCCACCATCTGAAAGGCAATTTTTTCTCCCTGAAGATATTAGAATTGGTATGTGAACTGTGTACAGCACTGACGAAATCCACACTTCTTTATTAGGTGGTGCGAGAGCCTTCGAAATCTAGCACATATCAATTCTCAAATACATTTAATGTCTTGCTAGAAAAAGAATGCCCTGTAATTTTTTGCTTTGGGATAGTTTTAAAATCTCCAAGCATTGGTGAAAGCCAGTATTTCCACATATTGAAAAACTTTTCAAAAAGCGCCGTCACCTTTTCTACCTGCGATTTATCTAAGCTTCAACCTAGCACTCTATTCAAATTTCCTATAATAATTATTTCCTCCCCTGTAATGCCTATCAATAACTGGAACAATCTCATCTAGAATTCTTCCTTATTTGAGCTTATAGCATAAGGACATGCCAGCATTGAGATTTTATTTTTTCTTAATTTCAGGATTAAAATTCTTCCTTTTTTATCTTTTAATTTTTCTAGTATTCCTAATATTTAAAATAAAATACTATTCAATTTTTGTCTTTTCTATTGCTGAATATATGTACCCTAGTTTCTATGTGTTTCTTGCAGAGAGTCTTAACATTAACTATTTTGAGTTTATTCAAAATTAGCTTTCATTCAGTCAATTTTTATTTATGAGATCAATTCTCTCTTGTCTGTTTTTCTTTTTCTTTCTTTTTGGGTCTCTTTAAAACCATTTTAGTTCCTGGAATTTGCTTGGACTAATATCTGAGGTTTTTTAAGTGAGATTTTGGAAGTAGTTTGCCTTCTTCCTAGATCTAAGAGGAAGCGATTAGCCTAAGTTCACCTGCTTTATGCCTACTTTAGAACTCATGGTCTCCTGATTTCAAGCCTGTTGCCTTAACCTCTGTACCAAACGCTTTCTCGTCCATTTTGGTTGTTTTTTTAGCATCCTTCTCAGCCTCAGGAAGTTCTTTGTTACTGAATAATCTTTCATATAGAAAGAAGGCATTTTTACTCATCCTGATGATTTTTTTCATTTCCAAAAAGACTTCCAGAATTTTCTGTCTACATCTAATTTATTTAAGTCTTAGTACAATTGTAATCCAAAGAAAGAAGATAGTTTTGACTGTGCAATTCAAAAAATAATACAGGTAGTCCTTGGTTTACAACAGTTCATTTGGTGACCATTTGAAATTATAACAGGAGTGAAAAAGTTGACTTATGACTATTTTCCATACTTACAACCATTGCAGCCTCCCCATGGTCACATGATCAAAATTCAGATGCTTGGCAACTGACTCATATTTACAATATTTACAGTGTCCCGTGGTCAAATAATCATTTTTGTGACCATCTTACAAGCAAAGTCAATGGGGAAGCCAGATTCATTTAACTACCATGTTACTAAATTAACAACTGCAGTGATTCACTTAACAACTGTGGCAAGAAAGGTTGTAAAATGGGGTAAAACTCACTTAATAAATGTCTCATTTAGCAACAGAAATTTGGGGCTCAATTATGGTTTTAAATCAAGGACTACCTTGGCTTATTCTAGACTTCCTGTCAACTTTCAGGGACAACACAGTTGGTGGAAAACCTAAAATCCACTTTACAAAGCAAAGGAAACAATGCAAGATATGTCTTAAAATACAGATAGAAGATGAGGGAAACAACTTCCTAGATCAGGGGTCTCAAACTCAATTTACTTGGGGGCCGCTGGAGGCAGAGTCTGGGTGAGGCTGGGCCGCATAAGGGATTCCACAAAAAACGTTGTTAAAAAAATACCCTCAAATGTCATCAACAGTTAATGATTTCTCCAATACATGAACTGTCCTGAACACATGAATGGAACATTGAATGAAGATCATGAACAGTTCCTCAGAACATGGCTTCTCCAGCTTACTCTTTGCTGCCAGAGACTTGACAACGCTTCCTCTCACATATCTGCGCCACATTTGGCTTGAGAGAGGAGGCACTTGAGACCCTCAGTATGGCTTGAAGATGATCATCAGTAAGTCTGGACCTGTACTTGGACTTGTTAAAGTTCAGGGTGGAGAAGAAGCCACGACGAGGAACGGCGGGCGGGACTTCCTTCAGAGGTCCATCCCCCCTGTGGGTCGCACTAATATTATACTTTCATATCACGGTGGGGGCCACAGGATATCGCCCTGCGGGCCGCAATTGGCCCGCGGGCCGCGAGTTTGAGACCCCTGTCCTAGAGTTATGAGGTTTCTATAGACCTCTGGTGAGACGATGTCACTCCCCTCATTTATTTCTAATTTAATTGTGAGAATAGGACATCTTTATCAAAATCACTAGCCAAAATAAATATTGTTTTAAAAAAAAATCCAAAAAGAATTGTTAAGGACAAAAATAACTGAAGTAAAAGTGAAAGCATCTTTTTTTCTGTATCTTCCCCATATTTGAATGTCATGGTTATGCACTCTTTTTATCAACTCTTTAACAGACTAAACATATCGAGTCCTTTGTATTATCACCTAAATGAATTTTCAAACCTTTCATAATTTAAGTTAATCCTCCTTAAATTACAGACATTCATTGCAACCTCTTCCTTATAAAGTAGCATCTAACTAATCTTATGTTGCCGTTCATATAAATTAGGTCCTCATATTTATGTTTGAAAACATACAATTTCATACCTGTGTGGTGAGAATTTCACTCTGGGAGAACGGACCTAGTGAATCTTCCAGAGGGGTTGCTTCACTGGCATAGGGCGTCATCTCTTCACCTTATAAAAACAAAAGTTTTACAGAGAGTAAGAGAGAGAGGTGGAGGGAGAGGGAGAGGGAGAGGGAGAGGGAGAGGGAGAGAGAGAGAGAGAGAGAGAGAGAGAGAGAGAGAGAGAGAGAGAGAGAGAGAGAGAGAGAGAGAGAGAGAGAAATTCCTGGATAGAGTTAGGGATGGAAAGGTCTTTAACGAATAATAGCATGAGGAAGTTAAGAAACAGTAGAACTCTATAGATTTTTTTTCAGCATCTGAATTTAGCCCATATAGATATACAAGCAATAAAGCATCCTATATGACAGGCAGCTATTTGGGTATTGAGGTTACTTGATGTTAGGCAAGTAATGAAAAATAAAATAAATAAAATATATGAGAATGAAATTGAGCAGAACCCCAAAGTAACGAAGTTTCTCTAAGCTATACCTTTATTTATGAGTGATCTCAACCTAAGGGTTTGATTTTGTTAAAGTAATTTCAAGCCCAATTTAGAAAGACTGTTACAGCAGAGACCCAGATAGCCATTTCATCCCATATTTAACACGGTTTGATTCATACATTATGCTAAGCCACATGATGTATCTGTAGCTTAGTATGTAAACAGCAATGGACTGCTATTGTTTTTTAAGTTTTTCTAACCTACAGGTGAAACTCGAAAAATTAGAATATCATGCAAAAGTTCATTTATTTCAGTAATGCAACTTGAAAGGTGAAACTAATATATGAGATAGACTCATTACATGCAAAGCAAGTTAGTTCAAACTGTGATTGTCATAATTGAAATGATTATGGTTTACAGCTGATGAAAACCCCAAATCCACAATCTCAAAAAATTAGAATATTACATGTAATCAATAAAACAAGGATTGTACATAGAACAATATCGGACCTCTGCAAAGTATAAGCATGCATATGTACTCAGTACTTCGCACACACTGCAAGATGCTTGAAGTCCAGTGTGAAGTTTCCACAGTTTGTGTTGATTTGGGGAGACGTGTCATCTGCTGGTGTTGGTCCACTATACTTCATTAAGTCCAGGGTCAATGCAGCCGTTTACCAGGAGATTTTGGAGCATTTCATGCTTCCTTCCACAGACGAGCTTTATGGGGATGCTGACTTCATTTTCCAGCAGGACTTGGCACCTGCGCACACTGCCAAAAGCACCAAAACCTGGTTCAATGACCGTGGGATTACTGTGCTTGATTGGTCAGCAAACTCGCCTGACCTGAACCCTCTAAAAATCTACGGGGCATTGCCAAGAGAAAGATGAGAGGCATGAGACCAAACAATGCAGAAGAGCTGAAGGCCGCTATTGAAGCATCCTGGTCTTTCATAACACCTCAGCAGTGCCACAGGCTGAGAGCTTCCATGCCACGCCGCATTGAGGCAGTAATTGCTGCAAAAGGGGCCCAAAACCAAGTATTGAGTATATATACTTGCTTATACTTTTCAGAGGTCCGATATTGTTCTATGTACAATCCTTGTTTTATTGATTGCATGTAATATTCTAAATTAAATGAACTTTTGCATGATATTCTAATTTTTTTAGTTTCACCTGTAGAATGTGAAGGGGGATAGCAATCTGTGCTGAATGCTACCTGCCATCCAAATTAAAAACTTTTTTTTAAAAAAAATAGTCATTAACATTTTACTACTAGCTGTTTGGCAGGGAGTAGAAACATAAATTATTTACTTAGTAACTCAGGAGTGAAAAAAGTGAAGCAAGAACCTTATTCTGAATTCCATTATCTTCTAAGGTTGGAATATCTGAAATGCTTCATATTTTACACCAACATAATAAATCTGAGATTGCTCCAATGACATATTTCAGTGGCTATTTTCCTGACCTTAAAGCAAAGCATGTTTACTATTTTGTATATTTCTATACTAAAAGGAGCTAGTTAACTTTTGAAACACAGAATGCAAACATGCATCAAAATGGAATTCTTCATAGGTAGTAAAAAAGAATAAAAGCACATAGCCAAATGAAATATTTCAATGGACACAGAGACATATTTTAATTCAAGGATTCTCAAACTGATGGACCAAGATGACATCAGCAACTTCAAGATTGGGAAACCAATTAAAAATATTTAAATAATCAAGCCGGTATGTTTTGAGTATTACTAAAACTTACAATAATAATCATAATCGTAACAACCTTATACAGAACTGTCTATATACTCAGACGTTACCTTAACAGTTCTTCGGTTCTTGGTTAGGACTTGAAATGTTAAGCTTTTACCATCCCCAGACAGGGATTCAAATTGAAGATTAAACCAATAATAATACTAATACTAATAATAGTCTTGTTCGTTAATATTGTAATACCAGTGACGCACAAATCGAAGAGAAACAACCAGAAAAAAAAATATTACAATCAGCAAACTGAAATTGAGCAAGTGTAGAAGAAATCAATGGTTACCTAGATACATGGAAATACTGAACTTATCAGAACCTGAATATCATGACTTTGAAAAAAAAACTCACTCAAAACTGCTTATATACTCAGATAGTTACCTCAACAACTTTTAGGTCCTTGGTTAGGACTTGAATTGTTAAGTTTTTACAAGTTACAACAAATAGTATTAAGGCAGCCAGAAATAGTTCCTTAGTCTTTCTTCAATTTTCCTGCTCTTAGAAAATGCGTTTTAGTCAGATTTAAGTCAATTGCTAAAAATTGGTTAAGTAAAGAAAGAGAAGGAAGGGCAACTTCTGACTACACAAGACCAATAAAGGCATACAAAGCCAGTATTAAGACAGCAACAGACAATAAGTACAGGTGAAACCCAAAAAATTAGAATAACGTGCAAAAGTTCATTTATTTCAGTAATGTAACTTAAAAGGTGAACCTAATATATGAGATAGACTCATCACATGCAAAGCAAGATAGTTCAAGCCGTGATTGTCATAATTGAGATGATTATGGCTTACAGCTCATGAAAACCCCAAATCCACAATCTCAGAAAATTAGAATATTGTGAAAAGGTTCAATATTCTAGGCTCAAAGTGCCCCACTCTAATCAGTTAATTAAGCCATAACTCCTGCAAAGATTGCATGTAATATTCTAATTTTCTGAAATTGTGGATTTGGGGTTTTCATGAGCTGTAAGCCATAATCATCTCAATTATGACACATCACGGCTTGAACTATCTTGCTTTGCATGTAATATCTCATATATTAGGTTCACCTTTTAAGTTGCATTATTGAAATAAATGAACTTTTGCACGACATTCTAATTTTTCGAGTTTCACCTGTACTGCCTATGCAAAGAAACTGAAAAAACAGTGGACTACTTTGTATGCGGCTGCAAGAAAATCATATATAAGCATGACAAAGTAGCAACAATGGTGTACTGGAAAATCTGCAAGAAATATCATTTACCCGCAAGCAAGAACTGGTGGGACCATAAAATAGAAAAAGTCATAGAAAATGAGAAAAAAAACTAAACTGCTGTGGGACAAACAGACACCTGTCACATAACACCCAAGATTTAAATGTTGATAAGAAAGACAAGAAAGTTTGAATAGTAGATATGGCAGTACCTGGAGAAAGCAGAATAGAAGAGAAAGAACTGGAGAAGAAAACAAAATTCAAAAACCTACAAATAGAAATAGAACAACTTTGCAAAAATAAGCAAAGGTAGTACCAACAGCAATAAGCACCTTTGGGTGCAATCCCAAAACAACTAGAACATGATTGGCATAGACCAAATAGCCATAACTCAATTGCAAATGGCAGCTTTACTCTGAACAACTTAAATCCTGCGACAGAGTGACGATACCTGTAAGAGCATCAAACATCCAGATCTGCCTATCTCAGGTCCTTGCAAAGGACTTGATAGGTAGACAAAAATGCCAAAGCCAGTCTGAACATCTCACTGTGGGATGAATTATCATCATCATCATACTTGAAGTTGACGCAATCAGCAAATTGAAGTTGAATTCAGCACCTGATAAGGAAGATGTAGCAGTTTTGGGTGAAGATATGAGATAATCCCAAAAATATAACAAATTAGATTATAAATGGATAAAGATAAAAAAAGAAGCTGAAATGAAAGAACTCATAATAACAGCAGAAATGGTGAAGAAAAGGGCAAGATCAAGAATTGGTCAGCAGCAGATGAAAATGAATTGCACATATTTTGGTTGAAATATCTAACTCTTTTGCATCTACTTGTTGCCAAGCAGTTTAACAACATACTGCAAGGAGTAAAAATTGAATAGTGGCTAACAACTGGCAAAACCAAGCTGATATAAAAGATCCAGAAAAAAGGGCAGCACCAGACAACTACTGGCCAACATGCTTACCAACAACTTTCACATTGCTAATTGCTGTGGTAGTTGATATAGTCCAAGAGCATCTAATTGAAAACAAATTCTTTTCAACTGAGATCAATTCTTTATTGATAAGATGATTATGGAAAACTGCAAGAGAAGGAAGACCAAGTTGAATGTAGTATCGACTAATTAGAAGACATTTGACTCCCTGACACATGATTGAATAATCAAGTGTCTATAATAACTGGAATCAGTAGAAACATCAGAAGCTTTGTGCAAAGATCGATGGCACAATGGAAGATGTGGCTGCAGGTCAAATGGTGATAGTTTGGGAGAGGTTAATATCAAGAGAAGAATATTGCAAAGTCACCAGTGTATGTCAATGCACAGATTCCTCTGTCAACAATACTGAGTAATTCAGATCAAGGCTATCAAACATCAAAAACATCTGCCAGACTAATCCATCTCCTTTACATGGACAATCTGTATGGAAAAACACCATCTGAAATAGAATAATTGCATAACACTGTATATCCAACCAAAATATTACAATGGAGTTGGGATTAGACGAATGTGTCATGCTTACCATTCAAATGGGGAAAATAGTGAAAACTGAAAGAATCTAGATGCCCTACAAAAATAGCATTAAGTCTGGATGAAGATCATTACTATAAATACATGGGTATCTTTCAAGTTGGCAACAACAACCACTATGAAATCAACAAAAAGGTTAGACGTAAATACATCAAAAGAGTGATGATCTTAAAGTTCAAACCCAATAGAGGAAATACCATTGAGGCAATTAACTCCTGGACAATTCCAATCATTAGATACATAGCTGGAATAGTAGACTGGATTCAAGGAGAACAAAAAACCTGGATAGCAAGACTAAAAAAATGACAATGAATCATGCCCTTGGTTCTCAGAACTATGTTGACAGATTCTATTTATCAAAGAAAATACCGTATATACTCGAGTATAAGCCGAGTTTTTCAGCCCATTTTTTGTGCTGAAAAAAAACCCCTCGGCTTATACTCGAGTCAGATTTCCCTCTGAAAAAAAATGGTGTGGAGCTCCGGAGCTGGGCAGGCGCTTCCCTGCTTCCGTGTTTCCTTTGCAACTTTTAAGCATGGGGGTAATCGGAAGCAGAAAAGTTCTTGCATGAGGATATATTTTTTCTTTTTTTAACTGTTTTTAGTGGGGGGGAAAGACCCACCGTCATGTGAGAATGCTCAGACACGAAATCTATCCGCCCGAAAATAAGTGTGTGTGTGTGTGGGGAATTTTAACAGAGGGAAGATGTAGGGAGAAGGCAAAAGCGACAGAAGATCCTTCAGGGGAAACTGAGGGGGAGACTCACCCTTGGTCCAGATGAGCCCCCTTCCCCGCCCCTAAGGAAGCAGAGGCAGCCAGCAAGGGCAGGCAAGCCCCACTTCACGGACTCTGTCCGTCCTCGCTCCCACCCAAAGCCACGAAGTCCCCCAATCGCGCAGCCCAGAATCGCCCTCCCCTCAGGGGGCAGCAACGACGCCCGGTTTTTCCCGAGACAAGAAGCTCCGCCGTGCAATGAAAGCGCCCTGGTTCTAGGCTCGCAGGCTCAGAAAACAACGCGAGCCGAGGTGGCTTCGGCTCCGCTCGGCTTCTCCAACATCCGGCGCCGCCCTGTTCTATGTGCCGGGCCCGGCAAGTTCGAGCAGCCAGCGCGTGGAGCAAGGCGGCGCTGGAGATCATTGGCTGCCTCTTTCGCAGCACGGGAGGCCTCCCCCGGCTGGCCAGCTGCTCTCCTCCTTCTCTGCCTGTTTGTTCTGTGTGGCCGAGGAGGAGGAGACCGGCCGGCTGGTTGGGGGAGGCTTTCTGCTCCGAGGGAGGCGGCTGCTGGTCTCCGGCTTTGCTCCGCTTCTCCGATGGTCCGCCGCCGCCCTGTTCTTTACTGGGGCAGCCGGGCGCCCACAGCGGCGCCCACGGCGGCAACAGGCAGTTCCGCCCGGGCTCCACTCAGGTGTCCGGCTGGGGCTGTTGGGAGTTGCTGCCGCCAGTGCGGTTCCGGTCCCGCGTTGCCTTGGGAAGGGTGGGGCAAAACCAGGAGCCGCTGAGCCTGAGCCTCCGGTGCCGCTGCTGCCGTTGCAAAGCGCTGCCGCGGCTCTTCCTTTTTGCCTTTCCCTTCCCGAGGCGACACGGGACTGGGGCCGCGCCGGCGGTAGGGACTCCTGACTCAGGGGGCCTCCGAGGGGAGGGGAAGAGAGTGACTCCTGCCTCCCGCTGTCATCATCATCTTCTTCTTTTGGGTTAGTGAATCAATTAAACCTTTCATGATAGTGAGATCGTTTCCCAAATTAATTATTTTTATTTTTGAAATTTACCAGTAGCTGCTGCCTTTCCCACCCTCGGCTTATACTCGAGTCAATAAGTTTTCCCAGTTTTTTGTGGTAAAATTAGGTTCCTCGGCTTATATTCGGGTCGACTTATGCTCGAGTATATACGGTAAGTAGGCATGGAATTTGCAAGTACATCAGAAGTTTGAAGAAGAAATAAAGGCATTGGAAGAATATCTGAAAGACAGTCAAGAAGATGCACTGGGGCCAGTACACCAGGAAGAGTTATTGTATACTGCAGAAGCCAAACTAGCCTATAAGAACCAAATGAAAAATAGAAGAATAGAAGTTATGGGAAAACATTATATGGCCAGTAAATTAAAAAATAGCAGGTAAAGAAGACCCTTAACAACAAGACCTGGCAATGGCTAAAAGCAAAAAGTTGAAAAAAGACATGGAAGAGGTAATTTTGACTTCACAAGACCAAGCCTGTAAAACAAATATGGATAATCCTCAATTTATGACAATTGACCCAAAAATTTATGTTGCTAAGCGAGACAATTAAGTGAGTTTTGTCCCATTTTATGATCTTTCTTGCCACAGTTAAGTGAATCACTACAATTGTTGTTACTAGCCCAGCTGTTAAGTGAACCTGGTTTCCCCCATTGACTCTGCTTCTCAGCAGAGCACAAAAGGGATCATATGACTCTGGGACACCGCAACCATCATAAATGTCAGTCAGTTGCCAAGCGTCTGAATTTTGATCATGTGGGATCTTGTGGGTGCTGCAAGGGTCATAAATGTGAAAAACAATCATAAACCCCCCTTTTCAGTGCCATTGTAATTTCAAATGGTCACTAAATGAAGTGTTGTAAATTGAGGACTACCTGTACATAAAGCCAGAATTTAGAATACCGCAATTGTCAGTAAGTGCCACCACTGTAAAGAAGAGGAAGAAATATTGGCCTACCTGCTTAGGTGCTGCAAGAAGATTGCACAGCCTGACTACAAGCAACAGCAGAACAAACATTAGTGCATTGGAAGAAATATCATTTGCCTGCAAGCAATAACTGTTGAATATGTAAAACAAAGAAAGTTAGAGAGAATGAAATGCTAAAAGTCCTCTGGGACTTTAGAATTCAAACAGACAGGCATCTATCACATAATACATCAAACAACAATTGTTAATAAGACTGAAAGCCTGGATGATGGACATGGCAGTACGTGGAGACAGCAGAATACAAGAAAAGGAACTTGAGAAGATAACAAAATACAAAGACTTGCCAATCTAAAAAGAATGACTGTGGCAAAAGAAAGCAAATGTACTTCCATTAGTATTAGGTGCCTTGGGTGCCATCCCAAAACAACTGGAGCACCAATTAAATGCCACCAGCATTGACAAATTCAACACCAGTCAACTCATATTCAACACCAGTCAACTGCAGAAATCAGTTTTATTTGAAACAGTTTCCATCCTGCAACAATTCTTTTAACATCCTATAACATCCACATCTGCCTCTTCCAAGTCCCTGGGAAGAATTCAATAGGTGAATAAAAAATGCCAAATACAGTCTGAACATCTGGCTGATTGTGTGACAAACCGTAATAGACAAAAAAAAATCTAGTTACCAATTCATTTAGGAGACAAGCAAAATAAAAGTTCAGATTAAAATTAGAAATTGAAATTGATTAAAATTATAATAAAAATTATGAATTAGTTTTCAGCATTTGACAATTTTTAAGGAATTTCAATTGACATGCCAGCTATCGGAAATGTTATGTGCAAAATGAATTATTACATTTACAACATCCCATTTCTGAGACAATATTTAATAATTATTGATAGAAAAAGCAAATGCTGATTAAATATTAATATGGATAAATGAGAACTGTCTCAAAAATGAAACCGATTTCAGTAATAATGCAAAAATAAAGTTAATTCTTCCAATTAAAAAATGGATAGTTAAACTTGATTTTTAAATTTCACAGTACCATCATTTTGTTATGTAAATAAAATGTAATTAATACAAGTTACAAAATAAAAGAAATTTGTTACTTGCTCCAACTTCCCTTGATTTTATTTGGTGGGCAAAACGAATTCATGTATTACTGTAAGGAATTCGTAATCTAATGAAGTTTGAGAATCCTTGGATTAACTCATAAAAAAGCATCAAGATGAATACTTTCTCTCTCTCATTGGAGCTAGAAATATATTCAAAATTGCAGAAAGGTATTTAAAAATAAAGCAATTTAGCTAATATTTGCAATGGCAATTTTGTACCTGAATTGGATTCTGAATGCGCATATTCTTCTTGCCCACATTCTAGTTGCTCATTATCTATAGAGACTTCATCACTAGGTGAAATGTCTTTGTTATTCCCACTGAGACTGGGCAATTTCTCTTTGGAATTAGAGAATGAGATTAAATCCTCTGAATTACAAGCCTTGCCAGAGACCATAGATACATTTGATTGAGAGGAAAATAAATTCACAGACAAATCTGATTCCTGGCTTTGGCAGATATCCACTTTCTTGTATTTAAAACCACTTCTGCTGCTGCTGTTGGATGTTAACACCTTTAGTGGTATCTCCTTCTCTTTTACTGAGTGTGATTGTGTGCTTTGCACATTCATTAGTGCCTGAAAACAAGAAAACTTTTCATCTTCACTGGAATCCTCTTCTGAGGAGGGCAGCTTCTCTAGGAATTTCGGGTAAGCCAAAATAAAGTCCTGACTCTTCAACATGGGGTTGCATTTGTTTTTGCTATCCAGATCTGTTCCATTCATCATTTGCTTGTCTATTTTAGCAGGGATAGCCAAAATGTCATTCTTATCCCAAAGGTTTGGTGAACCTTTTATATTTTTGGTAGGTGGGTCCAGCAAGTTGTCTGGTGTGTCTGACAACAGTTCAAGATGCTGATACTCTTTCGCAGAACATTCTAAATTTGGTTGGGGAATCGCATTCTTAATCTCACCAGTTCTAGAAACATCAACAGCTTTTTCTGTGTCACTGTTCAGTTGTTTTTCTTCCATGACATCCTTGTCAGCATGGATGAATCCGGGTAACAATGGTAGAGAAGTTAAAGAATGTTGCTGCATTAATTCTGTCTGAGGATTCAGTTCCATTTTTTTGTTTTCAGTATCTTTGGATTTTGCATCTTGAAAATGAACTGAACCAGAACTACTCCTATTAATATGGTTGAAACCTGAATCATGCAAATTGCTATTTTTCCAGACATTCAAACTTTCAGTACAATCATCTGAACTTTCAGTTTCCTCTAACCCTGGAGACTGTCTCTGTTCATCCCTTGTCTTTTTACTTTCTGGTTGACATCCATCTTCTTCATTTCTGGTAACTGATTGTAGAGAAATTGATGGACAGTCAGGAAATGGAACTTGCAAGGCAAACTGAAGGTATTCATTTTTATGTTCAGAAAAACTGGACGTAGAAAATGTTGGTGTTTGGACAGAGGTACTTTTATTCTCCTCACAAGAAACATCACATTTCTCTTCATGTGTTCCATCTTTATCCCCTTTGTCAGGGCTTAGCCCTTGCAAATATTTAATATCCGCAGCCAATTCCTTTACTGGACTCGGACATAGCAATAACTGGCGTTTGCCGCTGTCAAATATATTCTTCATGAAGCCTATATCTAGTTCACTCTCATCAATTTCCAGATTCAATTCACAACTCCCTTTAGCTTTTTTGTTAGTTTCAGGGGACTTGCAATTATCTGTACAAATCCCATCACTCTGTATTATTTCAGAACACACTGTATATTTTTCCAGTTGATTCACCATGACTGGTTCATCCTTGGAAACTGCTTGTTCTGCCTTTCCAGGATGAAACTGCAAGAGTGAGCTCCTGTCTTGGGAATCTGCATTGTGGCTCTTTGCAGTTTCTTCAGTATTCAGAATGTCTTTTACAATTCTAGTTACATGAGGAAACTTTTCATAGTTAACATGAGCCATGTCTACATTACATAGGTGCAGCTTATCAATCATGGTGGTATCTGAATAAGACTTTGCTTTCTTCAGATTGCCCTGCATGTCACAGGAATCATCTTCTGTTGCAGAGTAAGATGGCATTGTTTCTGAAAGAGAAATGGATTGTTTCGCCTCTCTCTCATCTACATTTCTTTTTCTCTTAGTTGGTTCACTTTGTCTCCTGTCTTCTTCTATGAACAGAAGCTTCTTCTTCCCTCTGACTAGCATCTGGTCTTGATTTATTTTTCTTAGCTCCTTAATATCTAATTCTTCCTTGGTCTCCTCAGATAGCATAGGGCTCTCATTCAACACCTGCAGATTACCAAGTGGTTTGATTAATTTTTTACTTTTCTTGTTAAAATAATTACTTTTTTTTTCCGTATCAGTTAGATTTAATTCTGGTAACGTGTGGCATTCACTCTGAGCTTGTGTGTCTCCATCTCCTTTCAACATGGATTCTGCTCCCTCAACACAGGCTATTTTTGAAAAAGCAGCTTCCGGTTGTTCTGCTGGGGATTTTTTAACAACAGCAAAGATTTGATCACTATTTTCCAAAACAGGGTCTTTTCTTTTTCTAACCGATTCCTTGTTGCTTAATTTCATGTTCTGTCTAAGAAAAACATCGAAATCTAATATTGCCTGACTCTTTGGTATTAATATTTTTCTCTGTGGTTGACAAATCTCAGAATCTGAGGAATCTGAATCTGAAGGAAGCTCTTTACTGCAACCATTCACCAGTGAATCAAAAGAAAGGATCTCCTTGCTTTTAGAAAACCACTCATTGACTTTATTCATGCTCTGTATCATTTCCCCCCCAGAACTTTTATTCAGACAGATGTCAGGCATAGTCTGGGACTGTAACTGGCATTCCTTATTTTCACATACAACTGATAAATTTCCAGCAGATTGGTCAATGAGAGTTTTTTGTCCATTATCTATCTGTTCATTTGTACTCATATTCATGGCTTCACCAGCCAATTGTACTTGTGTTGTCCTGCAGAAAGAGGAAGATCTATCATCCTGTAGGTAACTAAAACCAGGTTGTTCCATGCAGGAATCTAGAAAAGATACATCCTGTTGCTGTTTGACAATCACATTTCCCTCAACAATTTCTAAGTTTTCATTGATAATTTTGGTATCATCTCTGCTTCTTAGTTTTCTCCCTTCTAAGGCTCCACATATATCTAAAAAAGAAAAAAATAATAAAATGTCAATAAATTAGAGGCAGCTTATATGATGCATTTATCACTCATTCTTCCTCATTTCATCCTTCCCTGCTACTTGATTCATTATTATGTGTGATAAACAATACTTTGTCTCTCTTCCAAAAACACCACTCATACCAACAGAAGAGAATATCTGTAGCTCAAGGTTGATGCTCTCTGAACTTGATAGTTTTCTTGCAGATGTTTCATTACCAAAATAGATAACATCATCAGGGCTAAGCAGTCAGTGTCATGTTAATCTTTGCTCACCAGGGTATTGTTTGCTTGCTGGTAAGGAACTGTTTTCATCTTTTTGTTTTCTTTTTGGCTTTTGATTCTCTCTTTTAAATGGAAAGTAGAAGTTGTATATCACTATGTGCCTACTGATTGCCAATTTATCTAAATGCCAGGCTTCCAGGAATTCTCTAGCAGTTTTGGACTTGACTTGGTCTAGGATTCTCAGTTTCATATTTGAAACTATGGTTAAGTCTATCCACGTGTTGTGAAATTAAGGAGTTTGACTCCTGTCTTTCCTTCTGGTACTGCTTGGTCTTTTGGTTTACTTGGGATGTTTTGGATGGCTTTGGTTGATTTGTGTACTACGATGAGTCATCTACAACAGCAGTCTCCAACCTTTCCGGCTTTGCAGACCAGGAGGGAAGAGGGGATGGTTCTGTATGAGTGGCAGGCGAGCAACTCCATTTGTACAAATGGTGGGCACACACGCCCACCTCTTGCACAAATGGAGATTCCACAGCCTGGTTCTGAACAGACCTCAGCCCAGGGGTTGGGGACCCTGATCTACAACACACAATGTAAAAAGTAGCCATTTTGGTAGTTAGAAAATATATGACACCAACTAGCATTTAGAACATATGATAAAAAATATTTTAATTTCACAACACAAGGACAGATTTAACCATAATTTCAATCGAGAAACTGAGCATCCTATAGCAAGCCAATTCCAAATATGCTAGGGAATTCCTGGAAGCCTAGCATTCAGACAAATTGGCCATCTGTCTAAAAGCCACAAAGGAAACAAAAGGATAGAAACATCTCACCAGCAATCAAGATTAAGCAGAAATTAACGCCAACATTAACACTGGACCAACAGTTAAGAAGCAAACAATGGGTGCAATGATTAAGAGTGACAAATTACTCACAAGGATGACAATAATTTAAAGGCAGATTTGTGATCACTAAATCCAATATCATTCTCTATCATGGTGCTCTATATTTCATTTTAAGTTTCTTTTCTTTCTCTTTTGGAAGGCATGGCTATTGCTGTGTGTCCTGGGCCCTATTGTTCACCCAGCTGGTTGGGATTGTATCCTCCTAACCTTATAAGCATTAAAGGGCAATTTCTTAATAAACCTTTTTAAAGCTACGCTAAAGCTCTGGCATCTCTTGGTGTTCTTCTTTGGTATGTATCTTCAAATTCTAAATTGTCAATATACAGATGAACAAAAACATTGTGATTCTATGTGCATTACCCTGGAGTATTAGGACAATCATTATGGATTAATCTGTGATACACGAAATTAAGAAGGGAACTAAGTTTTCTCAGCAATGTCAGGAATAAACTTATTTGCATGCCCAAGGTCAATGCCCTGCATACTGCTTTTGCATATCATAAAAAATGGCCACCAAGAAAAATGCAACTCAGCTAACTATTGTATACTACTTGGACTCCTGTATTTAGTATCCCACCAGTAAACCAACACCATCTATGGGGAAACAACTCTCACCTATATTTAAGGATGCTTCATTTTTGGCACTTGGTTCACAATGCTCCATGTGGGAAGAGCTTTGATTCCGAGTCATAATACGGTCTTTGTCAACTTGAGATGAGGAAGAACTTTCAAAATCCATGCTGTAGAAAAGAATGAACAAAACTTCTAGAAAATAAAAGATCTGACAAGTTCTTAAAGTTATATTCAACCATAAATCCTATATATAAAAATAAAAACATAAACAATTCCAGATAAGATATTGATGTGGCATTTCCATATTTTGTGACTAGGAAAAGAAGACCTCCCACCCCAAGTCTTATTAGGCTGGAAATTCTATCAGCCTGCCTCTCTGAGAATTTCCTCCTTCAGTTCTGAAAAATGAATAGACTCTTTGTTTCTTTGTACTGTATACTATTTAAACATACAGTAGAACCTCTGGTCATGACCATAATTCGTTCCATAACTTTGTTCACAACCCGATTTGGGTTGTGACCTAAATATGTGAATTTTTTGGTCAGAACCCGATTTGGTCATTGTCAGAAGCGTTTGTGATCAGAGATTCTACTGTATTTTCATTTCTTCATGTTGTTTCAGAAAGAACTCAAGTGAAAAAGTAAAAAAACCAAATGACATATCCTAAATGACCGGAGCTTACTGTCTGGACTTTGCCAATAATATCCATATTACTTCGGCATGTTTAGAAAATGTACAGATAAATAAATTAGTAAATTGTGTCCAGATTTAGTCAAGCTTAGCATTAATCCAGTATTACTTAATATTACCCAATGTCCTTTATGTTCAAGCAAACTTCCTAAGCAATATAATCACATTGTTGTATCTTTTCCCACATGTTTATAAAATTCCTATATAGGCAAAGTGGAAAAAAAAATCTTCTCAGAAGTTTTTGTCACACAAAAAGCCACTGCCTCTTCTTCAGAAATTGTCTTTTCATGATATAAACAGGAATATGATACCCCACCTCAATAGGTACTCTATCCAGTATTTAATAGCATTTCTGACATCACAAAATGTGGCAAACGAAACACCAGTGAACATTAACTTACCAGCTGACTATGTTCTCTTTCTGAAAGATATCTTCAGATGAGACTGAACCTTGGATGAGCAAAATTTTCAATTAGCACATTTTGCAGAAAGATGATTCAAATAACAATTGTTATCACTTAAATAAAGCAGGATCACTGCCACTTTTTTCAGAATAAAAGCATTTTTACAGGCAGTCCTCAACTTATGATCACAACTGAGCACAAAATTTATGTTGCTAAATTAGAAATTTGTTAATTGAGTTTTCCCTCATTGTTAGGTGAGTCACTGCAATTAAATTAATAACACAATTGTTAAGTGAATCTGATTTCTCCTTTGACTTTGCTTGTCAGAAGGTTGAAAAGGTCATATGAATCAGTTGTTAAGCATCAACATGTAAATCACATGACCATGGGGATGTGCAATGATCATAAAGGTGAAAAATGGCCATAAGTCACTTTTTTGTGTCCTTGTAACTTTGAATGATCACTAAGCGAATTAGTGAGGACTACCTGTACTATCACTACTTACTGTGCTCCTTATCAATTTCCAAAATCATATTTTTACTAGAATCTCTTTTCTTTCTGAGTATTCTGAAGTTTTTTGTTTCATTTCCACTGTACTGTGGCAAGATGGGGTCATCCGCCTGCCAAGAAAACAAAATATTATTAGACTAATATTATTAAAATACTGTTCCTTTAAGACCCTGCATTGCACAATTTTACTGCAGAAGTTTTAAATATATATACATTTGGTATTTGCAGAACTCATTTTTTCTGTGGTAAAATGAAGAGAATGTCACATGCAAATAGTAGACTTAGAGGGGAAAAATATCAAGTATGAGGAGCACTATAGTTTGAAATATATGGATGGGTGAGTATACAATAGGGATACAGCACCATAAATTTGGTGCTTGTTTTCTTTCCAGATAGATTTTAGCTTCTAAAGAACCACAACAAAATGTTACTTAAGTGGTCTTGTCAGACATTTAGAAGGAAGTAGAATCCTTTCATCTCCTTTAATTCCTGCAATAGTTCCTCAACTTTAATCCATATCTATTACAGTCACAGAGCAGCATTCCAAGTTTAATAGATTTAATTAATGATTAACTTCATTTACAATCTACCTAATAATCATAGTTCATTGGCTATGACTTTAATATCAGAAGTTTAAAAACATTTTAAAAACATAAAATAGCAAAACACTGAAAATAGTGCTAGCTAGCCATTTAGCCAATCCATTTCCTACATATATCCTTCTGATACTGGTTACCACTGAAAGATGGTTGGTGTAAGCTAACAAAGTATTTCTTAGCTTAGCATCAATAAATACTATATAAAATTCTTAGGTATAGAATAAAGTCTTTTACTCATTGCTCTTTCCCTATCTGCCCCAAGTCTGTTGCCTATTCATTCATGTGCTTTTAACAGAAATTTGTCCATTTCATAAATTAATTAGTAACTACAAGTAAATCTTAACAATATTAAGGAACCCTGGCAGTTTTAAATTTGTACTTCATATTTTCAGAGATAATCATTCATGTATGGAAAGTATAAAAATATGGAAGACGATATGTGTATATCATTTATCTGTAAAATGATGAGAAATGCATCATTTTAATTGGTTTTTAATAATTCTTTATATTTATTTTTAATTATTTTGTTGTTAAGTATTCTAAACTCTAGTATCTCTGGAAACAATTACGTTAGAAAGTTATACAATGTAACATCTAATTTTTAAAAAGTAATCCTTTTCCCCATGCCAAATTGACTTTAAGGGGAAACCCTGCTTTAAAAATTCAAACAAAGACAGAAATATGGAAAAATTGGATGAAAGTGAGATCAACCTTGAATAAAATGATAAACAGTGAAGATGAGTTATTTACCATACTCTGTGTTAAGAGACAAGAGATCTATCAGATATAAACCAATGACAATATTTATAATTACATTTGTTAACAACATTATTTGGACCAGAAGAATTTTCAACTGTTGAGATATTTGAGATACTATAACCACTTTTTTCAATTTAAACCCCTACTTATTTACAAACAAAACTTGTACATTATAAATAACATTAACTACATTTAATAAAAATTATTATTTTTTAAATATTTAGGGCCAAGACTTGTATTTTGTAGAGAGTAAATCTAGGGTATTTATTTAAATTTACACTGAATTCACTTGTTGAATTAAATAATTATAGTATCAGAACATTTTCTGATTCAAATTGAAAATACCTGAATGAAAATTCTCACAAACCAACAAACCAACGTTAATCTGCATGCCAAAGAAAGTTATCATATTTATCTAAATGTAACTCATTGCATTAGAAAAATATTTAAAAACTTTTCTTATTAGAGTGGGATTATTCTTCCCTTTAAACATTATACAAAAATGGGGAACTGATTTTGACCCAAAATGTAAACTAGCCTGAGATGAAGGAAAAAGGAATCGGCCAATAATATATGAGGCTCAACCACCCACATACAAGCAGTTCCTGAGGCTTTTGCCACCTCTCCTTTTCTTGGTGATATCCAGAAGGAATTAAACCTTTACTCTGAAAAAAAAATTGTTTCCAAGAATTGTTAGCAGGTAGTGAAATCCAGAGAAGAAGCTGTGACAAATAACTGGCCCACGGTACACCATCAGTGGGAGGCTAATTCCATAAGGGAAAAACTGTATTGAGATCAGTACACAGAAGATGGCAGAACAAGAATCAGGGGAACAAATTGATTCTTTATGGCCAAGGCTATTTGTCCAATAATTTATTCTACAGAATCTCTTATTTTAATTATTTATTGAAGCTTTCCTGATATAGAGTCAATGGTGGTATGCTACCGGTTTGCCCCGGTTCGGTCAAACCAGTAGCAAAAATTCCTACCGGTTCAACTAGAACCGGTAGTAAAAAAAAGCGCCCATGCACTTTTCTTTATCCTCCCAGTTGATTGGCCCTGTAGGCCTCAGCTGGTGTGTGGAATGCTGTGTGCGCGTGTTAGGTGCGCACACGTTAAGCGTGCACACGATCAACAAACTGGTAAGATCCCACTGCTGTACAGAGTCCTTATAGCAGTAATTTCAATTACAATTAAATACATTTCAAAGCAAGAAGCACAGCTTTCTTTCAGAAACTCCTGAAAATAATGTATTGCAAGTAGGTATTTTTGCACTTTCCTACAGTCTGTTCAATTCAAGCTATAATTTCTCAAATGAAAATAAAAGTGAACCAATAATTTAACAATTGGGAGGGCAATGTCACATATCAATATGTAGGAAAAAGAAAGGAAAAATGTTATTACCGATTCAGTATTTCTCTTTTCTTCATTCTTCATATATTTTGATCTATCTCTATATCCCTTACTGTTAATAATCAGTTGCTCTTTACATGGGGATGAAGCAGAAACAGTTTCCATCCCTTTCTTGGGATAAACCAAATTATCTGAAACTGAGAGAAATAGGGTTTTACCCTGAAACATAATAGTTATCGTAGGTACAGATTTTACAGCTTACAGGATGATTTTTAAAAGACTTTGATTTATACAATACTATTGAACACAATACTATTGTGTAGTATACTATTGAACACAATTTTATAGAAGCAAAGAGTTCTCACGATTTAAAATTCACAACTGAGAAACTGGGTTGCCTGAAGCCCTCATCTATTTCCTGTGAATCAAGAAAAAACATTATTCTTCTACTACTATTAACAGAATCTAGTCAATGATGTTGATTATAAAAATATGCTGAACATGAAGTCTTGAGATGTTCCAGTTTTCAGTAGTGTGTGTGTGTGTGTGTGTGTGTAAGGCATCCAGAAAGTATCCATGATATCAATCACTCCGAGACATTTTCTCTCCAATTGATTTATTAGAACAGATCTGGCATGTCAAAGGCAATTTCCCAAAGTGAAATTATTTTCCTGCCATTACACAGAATCCACCTTCTCTCCTCCCTTCTCTCCTCCCACTTCTACACTTCATAAATCACCAGAACCAATTAACTGCACTGGAATTTCTTAATACAACATACAGAACAACCTTGAACTTTTCAACTCCTCCACCCCCCCTTCCATGAAATGTGACAGCTGAATTTTAAAGCTGACAGTGTGTGTGTGTGTGTGTATGTGTGTGTTGAAAGCCCTCAGAACAGCTATCACAAGAATCCTTAGCATTAAACCTGAGACTTAAGCAAGATGACTAATGAGCAATGGAGAGGTAAATGAAACCAGTGGTTGCCAACCAGTGGGCCGGGGACCACTGGTGATCCGCAAAAAAATTTGGGTGGTCCGCAGAGAAATGTCACCCCCAAGGCACCCCCCAAAGCAATTAATCCAAGCTGCCCGGAGACACAAGGCTGCACCACCCACATTGCCCGTGGGAACACAAGGCTTGCGTCGCTTGCATTGTGAACAACACGAGGTAGTGAGGGGAGGAAGGAAAGGAGGGGAACTTGCCTCACTAGTCCCATGTGCCTTGCTTGGCCCCCAGGTTGCTTCTTTCCGCTTCTTTCTTCTGCTTTTGGCTGCATGCAAGGAAAGCAGCAAAAGTCTTTCTCTCTCAAATTCTGCCAGAAGTGAGTCTTTGTGACTCTGCAAGGCATCTTGCTCCAAGAGGCTGTGTCAGCGCAACAACTGTCACAAAGACTGGCAGAGTTTGGGGGAGAGATAGAAAGACTTCTGCTGCTTCTGCTGCTTTCCTTGCATGAAGCCAAAAAGTCCCGTCCATCCGTCCCCCGAGAATGGAGCTGGAGACGGTATCCTGCGATCCTAAATAAAGAATGATTGATTGGTAGGAAAACGGGGTGGGGAATTTTCCTGAAGACTTTTTTGTGTATTTTCCCAGGGTCTCTGATCTGCAAGATTTAAAATTATGAGTTTGGTGTTCCCTGAGGTCCAAAAGGTTGGCGACCCCTGAATTAAACTGTCTCCTTGATTTTCCACCTAATTTGAATCCTTGCTATATGCCTGTCTACTTTGCCAGGTTAGAGCCAGGACAACTTCACTCAGTGAAATGAGCAAGATAGGCTGCTGTCAAGATGTTCAGCTATTGATGAAAGGCAAAAGTGGCCTCTACAGATGAATAACTTTGATGAGGTAGCTGTTGTGAGATACCCACTTAATGCAACCTCTTATTTGCAGCTGGGATGAGAAGAGACAGCAATAATCCCCAGGTTTTGCTTCCTCTAGTAATTCCTTTATATAATAAAGATTCATAACTATTGACATCTCCCCACTAAGATACCACTGGTATTAAAATTATAGTAGTCAAAGCACATTTATTTGCCAGGCATTTCATACTAGTTGACTGAATTGTGTGCAGCTTTTTTATTTTAAAATCATTGATTTTCTACATTTGTGCTCTGGTGTACTTAAAACCAAAATGCACATGGAATGGTACAATGCAATCATTCTGGTGACTCTTCTGATTTAAATTTGGGAGGGCGCTTTTGACAGTGGCAAAGAACATGAATTTACATTTGCAGAATACAAGCTATTTTTATCACAGCAAAACTTTTAATAAACATATTTCTAAAATATAAAGCCTAACAGACATACTCATTCTTAGTTGCTAAATGCTTTCACCAATTGGACTGTGTCTTTAGACATCATCAAAACTTGGATCTTAATCAAGCAAAAGAAGAAGAAAACAAAAGAAAATGCCAGAGGTTCAAAATAACAAATCCAGCCATGGTCTTTGAACCAGATGTATGGAAGGTACATTTCTAATACTACTAAATATATTAGTGCATGAGTACAATGGCCTAATGGTCTCCAGATACTTCAGATTTCAATATTCATTAACATAGCCAGAATAATCGATAGCAAGTTTGAAGGACCAGCAGCCCCAAAATCAGAGTAGCGTTAGATATATTACCTGTTTCAGAGACTGAAGCCAGGGTTGAAGAAGATACAAACTTTATAGATAATATAATTTAGAATTTTAAATCAAAAAATGGAAATCAAACTTTAAACAGAAAAATCAATTGTGCAATTCAGCATCACAAAAAATTAGTAAAGAACTTTCTATGAAGTTTATTGTAAGAACAATACCTACACTCCAATCCAGTATCGCACTCAAAAGCACGGATGATGTTTAAAATTCGTTTGCTTACTTCCTTAAGATAGATATTGTCTCTCAGACTTCTGAAACAAGCCAACAAATGTTAGATGGAGCTGCAATCAATACACTATAGTAACTTTTTCTTTAAATATTTACAACCCTTTTACATCAATGCCCCCATTGCACAGATAGGTGTTAGTTGAATAGTGAACATCTTAGTCTTTCTGAGATTGGCAATGTTCAATTCAGCATTTATGCATTGGTCTCCTAATAAGTGAATATATTTTGTGCTGGAACGGATTCACCTTTTAGAGACTTTGCCATAACAAAGTGGACAGTGTGTTGCACCGTTCTTATGCCTAAGCAATTTCAACATACAGAACCTAGAAAAGAAAAACAGTGTGTTTAGTCTCTCACTGTAATTTTTTTTAAAAAAAAAAGTCACCGTGGGAAAAATGAACCTTCCTCCTAGCAATATCCCCATATTTGTAGGTATAAACTATTTTTCTTTTCTATGCTTGTATTTCAGAGTCTTATATCAACAAATTTTCAAACAGCAAGAGCTTATGCTATTTAAAATTTTACTCCTCCACAGCCTCTCCTTCAGGGACAAAAGAATACAATATTATTAGTTCCTCTTATTTTTACTGAAAGCATTCATTGTAATTATAGGTATAGCATAAACATAACCATTAAAAATCATTGGTAGTGAATGAAAAAAAAAAAGAACTTTTTCAATTCAGTAATGAAAGTAAGTTGATTTATCCCTACATACAGACGGGAGAAGGAGAGAGAGAGGAGTGGGGGGTGGGCAGACAAGAAAAAGAGAGAGGAAATGTGTAGGTGCCTGCTAGCACCATGCTAACAGAAATTGGTACAATGTTCAGAGTCAAAATGTTGCCTATCTCTAAAAGAATTTTTATCATAAGCAATTAAAGTAAAGTAAAGTAAAGGAAAGGAAAGGAAAGGTAAGGTAAGGAAAAGAAAAGTACAGTAAAAGGAAAAGGAAAATGCCCAAAGAAATGTGTTTTCCAACTGTGGCATTCTGCAACTTGACATCTATGAGAGAATCTTATTTACATCACTTTGGCAAGGGTGAGTGAAGTCCCTGTAGATAGTGTGGGCTTGCTGGTTGCTTTCATTATGTTTACATCTCCTCTTTGCCATATTTTAACCTTTTTTGCTTTTTAAAAAAAACTTTTTTTCTTGTGAGTTATGCAACATACAAATTTAATTAAATGAAATCAAATTAAATTAGAGGGTATCCTAAACACTATTCTACAACTTAGATAGCAAAATGTGATAATAGAGAATAGGATTGAAAATGTCCTTCTTAAGTCCTGATACATAATATATGATGTAACAAAAGGGGCATCAATCTATGGGACCCATCACGGCTTCTAGAATAATTTCTATAGCCATCATACCATCCCAAACTGCACCTCTAAAATTTGACAGTACACCTACTAAATGTCAGCTCTGAGATTTTCTATGCATTTTTATATTTTAAAAATAGTTCAACATAGGTATTTTAATCCTATTGCCATATCTAGAAATGAAGCCCACTTTAACATGGTATCTCTGCAGTAGCAAAGATATCCTCTTGCTGCCCTCATTAATTAAAATAAAAGGGCAGCCCATGGCTAGAAAAAAAAAAATCAGTACTCCTGTCTCACATTATACTTGGACCTAACTGCTATAGTAATTTTAACAAACTTTATGAGCCAGCCTTGGAATCTATTAGCTTGACCACTGTTTTTTGGGCTCTGCTCTGCCAGAAATCAAGTGTGTCCCTTAACTAATCAAGGAGAGAAGCAACCTAGAACTAAGAAGAAATTTCTTGACAGTTAGAACAATTAACCAGTGAAACATCTTGCCTCTAAAAGTCGTGAATGCTCCAACACTGGAAGTTTTTTAAAGAAAAGATTGAACAACCATTTGTCTGAAATAGTATAGGGTTTCCTGCCTGAGCAGGGGGCTGGACTAGAAGACCTCCAAGGTTCCTTCCATCTCTGTTATTCTATTCTACCATATTCTAAATTGGAATATTCTAAATTTTAAGTAACGATTTTTATCTCTGCAGCAGACAAAACTTTGGACATGAGATTTTAACTCCGGGGCAGGCAAAAAAAGCCCCCAGAACAAATCACAACAACAGGCAATTCAGCCAGCTGGTGATATGGTATATGGTTTTGAAACATATTCAGCATTATAAATATTGTAGACTCAGCCTTTCAATCTGGACAGAGGTAATTATAATTATTTTGCATTTTAAATGCCTGCATACCCACATTGTTTATAGCTTCCTTGTCTCTCAAGAAGAAATTAAGATTTCTACATGAAAAACTCTAAAAACCCTGAGAATGAACACTTGATATTCTAGCATCAACATTTCATAGTCATATGTCCTTCAGATGCATGAGACTACAACTCTCATCACCATCAATCAATAAGCTCATATGTTCAAGCTTTGATAATTTAAAGAGGAGGCTTACCTGCAAAAGATATGAGCGCAGTTTGTTGAGACTGGTTCTTTTATCACCTCCAGACTGAAAGAAAGAAATAAAACATCAAAGCTATGCATTTCAAACAAAGTATCTTCAATATACTGTAATTCTAGGAATTAATGCTAGTGAAATAGCCATTCTAGTATATTATAATTACACACACTCTAATCTTGCAATATAATAGATTTATTCCGACATAAGCCTTTTAAACTAAAATTCATTTTTAAGATATGAAAATTGTGCTTCATTGGTCTATAAACCCCTGACATACCACCCTGTACAGAACAAGGTTTTATACTGTGGTCCCTTTCTTAGCTAACCATCTAATCAAATTAGTTATGCGGAGAGGAAAAGTAAAAGAAACAAAACGGAGGTGAGAAGCATAATGCTCACTGATATAATACCAAGTACTTGCTGCCATGATAACAAATAATTAGCAAGAATGTTTTTTTTTAAAAATCAGCTGTTTAGCCAAAATTGGAGTAATGTCTCCGTATTCATACATCACAAAGTTGAAATTTCTTATTTAGGTAAGGTTTTGATAAAAAATATTATGGACAGCTCCAAATATCTCTAAATAGAATGAACAAGCTTTAAAATAGCACAAATAGTTCAATGTAAATAAACACATAATATTTATTGGAGTGTGTGTGTGTGTATGTGTGGGTGTGTATATATATACAGCAGTAGGCTAGCACCAAATTTAAAACAGAAACGGCTGTGAAAGTCTGACTCACAGACGAACACAATACAGAAGCCTGATGATGGCAGATGAGATTCTGCCGAAACGTTGCTACAACTTTAAAAGCACAACTATAATGACGTGGGAAAATACCTGAACAAAGCTGAATACCATTCATATGTGTGTGTATGTGTGTGTGTGAGTGAACAGGCACTGCTTAAGCAAGAATGGAATCTTGGAATTGTGATAAATATCTCAATAAAAATTCAACCTGATGTGCTGAAAACAGCTGAAAAAATAAGGCAAATTCTGTGCTATGAATAATTGGAAAAGGAATAAAAAAATAAAACTGCCAATGTAGCAATGCTACATGGATATATGATGCACATCATATTTGAATATGATGTACAATTTGTTTTGTCATGCCTCAAAAATATTGAATGAAAAATTATGCAGAACAGTACAATTAAAAATGACCAAATCTCCTTATGAGAACAGATTACAGCATTTGAGCTTTTTACTTAAAACCAGTTGTTAAGATACCTTATAAATCATCTTCTGTAGTCCAACCTTCTGCTATTTGCAGAAACCTACAAAGGATCTTTCAACATGTGGCTCCTGGCTGAAATCCATTACTATTTTAGGCAAATTGTCCATTGCCTGAGGCTATGGGATAGTTTGCCTAGAGGTTAGAAATGACTTTAACAATGAAGGTATATTTTATCCTCTTGACTTAAAACCAGATAAGAAGATATTAGTTGCGAAGAAACAACAGGAGAAAACAGTATTGTTCCCAGGTCTGTTTTGTGACCTTCTTGACTGCATTCAGTTGGTCACTGCCACATATAAAAAATAGAACTAGGATGAATTTTGGCCTAAGTTAACATTGTGTATACAATCAAAGGACTAGAAAGAGTCACTCAGGCCATTAAGGTCAAGCTCTCTTCAGTGCACAAGACTGAATTAAAGCATCTTTTAAAACATCCTTTAAATTTGCTTTAGTTCCTGATACTAACGCCCTATGCACTAATGGTACTGTATACATTTATTTGCAGTGTTGAACTTTCAGCAGTTGTATATTCTTTTGGCCTTAACCCAGGTACATCATGAATACCACTACATATGAACTGGTCTTGTTTTTTCGAAGTAAATTTGTGCATACCAACTGAGCTGGAGGTCTTTCCCCTCTGGAGTGGGTTTGCCATTTTCTCCTCCAGTGAACTGTACTTAGTCTGATCTTTTGTCTATTACCTGTCATAAATGTCCCTTCTAAAAGTACAGATACTCCTCAATTTGGGAACCCTTTTTTTGAACTATTACCATCTGGCAGACGGTACAGAATAATAAAAACAAGGACAAATTGGCTGAAAAACAGCTTCTATCCCAGGGCAGTAGCTCTTTTGAATTCTGATGTATAGTGCAGTGTTGGTGTGGTGTCGGGGGTTTCCAGTTCAATGTGTGAAGGGTGAAGGATGTGTGTGTTTATTTACATGGTCATGGTCATGATGAGCACTGAAGATGGTGTTTGATTTCATTGTACGAGGTGCAATAACAATAAAGCAAACTCAACTTACATGCTTTTGCTTAGCAACACTTCAAGGTTACACCACCATTAAAAAAGACTTATGGCCATTTTTTACACTTATGACCTTTGCAGCATCCCCATAGTCATGTGCTCAGAATTAAGATGCTTGGCAACTGGCATATATTTATTACAATGCAGAGTCTTGGAATCATGTGACCTCTCCTTGCGACTCTCTATCAAGCAAAGTCCATCGGGAAGCCAGATTCACTTAACAACTGTGTTACTAATTTAACAACTGATAGAGATTAATAGAGTTGGAAGAGGCCTTGTAGGTCATCTAGCTCAATCCCCTGCCCAAGCAGGGGACACATATACCATTTCTGGCAAATGGCTGTCCAAACTCTTCTTGAAAGCTTCCAGTGATGAAGCTCCCACAACTTCTGAAGGCAAGTTGATTGCTCATCTGCAGTAATTCACTAAACTGTGGCAAGGAAAGTGGTAAAAAAAAATCCTTTAACAACTATCTTGCTTAGCCAGAAAAATTTGGGGCATAATTGTGGTTGTAAGTTGAGGACTACCTGTATATATTTCAAATAGTACATTAGCATGTTAGCATGAATGAACAACACAGCTCCTTTCTCCCTACAAGATAACAATTCATGATGGGTCTTGCTTATTAAATATATAAATATTTTACATAAATCAATAAACATGTTATTAATGTTATTGTATTCCACTACTAAACATTAATGTTATATGGTGCCATCAAAGATTTCTCCCAGGTTTTTCACATCAATATGCAATTATAGTATCTCATGATATTTTTAATTTTGTCTGAATTGGAATATCAGTAACTTTGGAGAAGAGTAGAAATTTTATTTCTCTAATTATCCTGAATTAATGAAACCTTCAAAGTGGCTGGTAATAAATCAATGGCAATGTGACTGTATCTTTTCAGCCATTAAATGCCTCCTAAGGACAAAGCCTAGGTTTTCTATTATTGTCCCTTTAACAATAAAATCAAAGTTGCCTCTTCCCCAGTAACTACTGATACTGATCGATTTTATATATTTCATGAGAATATTTATTATAGTTGTTTTAGTACAGTGTTTATTTATAATCTTTACATGCTTATATATTTATGATTTTAAGCTACATGTGAACATCCAAAACTTCTTAAATAATACAAAAGAATAAAGAATAAAAAGACAGAATATTGAACATATTGCATATCAAAATTGCCTTGCCCTCAAAGAAATTCTACAAAAAACCTAGCTCAAAAATATGGCTACAGAGAGCTCCATCTAAAGGCAACTACTTTGTAATTACAGAAAGAAATGAAGCATCAAAGTATCATTGATGTTACATTGCAAAAAATAATTGCATTCAGTTATTCTGTAGAAAGTAAAATGTACTTTATATTATTTCAATATTTTAATAGTATGTGTGGATTGCTAACTTGGAATAATTCACACCAACTTTTATATCAACAGGAAATATTTCATATTTGTATTATATAGTATAAACAAGGCAGTCCTTGTTTAGAGATCACAATTGGGACTGCAACTCTCTAAGTGTTGTAGTCACTAATAGGAAATTCAGTGATCCTGACAACACTTATGATTTTGCTTCTGTTTTCTTCCCCCACTACCCTGCCCTTTGTAATGCTCACTCCAGTTTTCATTGCAGGGGTAATTAGCAAGTAGAGAATTAACATTTGTCTTTAAAATCAGCGGAGAGCAAAGCAAAAGAATAAGCTGGAACACAAAGAGAAAGAATGTGCTAGTGTCAATTGTTTGTCTAGTGCACTCCTAGTTCTGAGCCATTATGGTGGCAAACAAGTGCTGAAATTGTGAAAGGGATTAAACTCTTGTCAGTTACAAGAAGCAGTTGCAAACAGTCTAAATTAAGGTCATAGAACTAGCTTATTAACTTGTTACCATCTTTTGGGGCAACCTTGCACTGGGGAGAAAAGCAGGTCAGGAAGAGATTGCTTATTTAACTCTTCTGTGAAGAAGGAAAAACAAATAGGTCAGGCATAGGACAATACTAACAAGTTACTGTAAAAGAGATGTTGCAAGTCATAAATCTAGGCGTTGTTCCAAAGTTATTTTTTCACCACTGATGTTACTTTGATCTGTCACTGCCCAAGTCCAGTCACTTGGTAAGGTCTAGCTGTACTATCAAATAGTTTAGAAATTTCCATTATTTATATAATACACTGATTATCCAAAAGGTTATTATTCATATTATATATCTAGCTACCAGAATAACTATTTTGTATGCAAAACCACTTATTTTTCACCCCCAAAAAATGAAATTCTATTTAGTATGCCAAAAACCTTAGTGTGGCAGGAAATATAACTAATTGTACTGTTCCTTTTTGATTATGCTGCCAATAGTCTCAGAAATGAAGGGGAGTAAGTATTTCAAAAGTCATCCAGGTCTTCTTAATCATATTTTCCTTCCAGCAGTAAAGGCCTGATGTAACTTTCTCACACCTGCATCTTATATACGTAGTGAAGATGAACTTATTCTTTTCTAATGTCCTGAATGTTCAAAACATATTATACTATAGACAAATTCTGGCACTGTGAAAATAAAGCTGTATATAATTTATATTTTTGGAACAGCCTTCCCTTTGTTGTTTATCTGATATCCAGATGTATCATATCAGAGTTTGTTAGATATTATACATTTTAATGAAATCTAGATTTTCAAACTTATTTTTTTTCCATACCAGATTGGACATTCCAAAGTATCTTGCAAAGCTAGCAGCAGCTCATGAACTTCACCAACATTTGGAACAGGCAAATCCATAGGTATACACTTTGAAAACAGAAAAAAATATGTTAATTTTGTGTAGCATTCTGAAATATAGTGCAGGTATCTCATTGAGCAACCGCAATTGAAACTGGTATTTCTAATATTAAGTGAAGCAGTTGCTAAATGGAAAAATCACATGACCACAACTCTATTTTTGTTTTACCCATTAGCCTTTGAAATGTTCATCTTGGCACCTGGATAGTCAGCTCAAAACTGACAAGACTAATCAATTTCACTCCTTTGGCTTTTGCTTGCCTCCTAACATTCCCATTCTTTGGAACGCCCATACTGACATTGGGATAAATAGCAAGAAAGGAACTAATATTTGTAATTCCTTTCATTGGAAATGAGAAAATTATAAAAAAGTAAGCATGTAATGGAGAATATACATAAAAAGGAATTCAGTGGCACTGGCACAGCAATTTATCTCATGTCCCTGAAATAGAAACCTAATCTAAATTCAGAATTAAATTCAACATATTCGAATGACATTTACTTCAGTTAGTTAGATATTCAAATCTCAGGTATGAAAAATTAAAAGACAAGTTGATTAGATGAAGAATTTCAATCATTAAAAATCTATAAAGCAGCGTCCCAGACTTGTTATAGTATTCAATTCTGTAGTTATAAGGATGCTCCTATTTTACAAGCCATTCAAGTTTCTTAAAACCATACTCTATGCTCCACTACAATGCCCTTGTTCAGCTATATTTCCCTTGAGGCACCTGAGATACTTCTGTCTTTGATATATACACCTTACCCCACCAGATAATTTTTTCTCATTTCTAAGAAGACAAATTGATGAATTTATATAATATGGTAGAATGTTTACTAAATATATATATAAAAAAGTTAAGATAGTAAACAAAAGTGAAAGTGTGTGTGTGTGTGTAGGCTAGCACCAAATTTAAAACAGAAACGGCTGTGAAAGTCTGAC